AGGATTTACACATGGTCTTTATAGATTTGGAAAAAGCGTATGATAGGGTCCCAAGAGACATTCTTTGGAGGATTTTAGAGAAGAAAGGAGTACGAGTAGCATATATCCAAGCTATACAGGATATGTATGAAGGAGCAAAGACTGCCGTAAGAACTCATGAAGGACAAACCGAAAGCTTTCCCATAACTGTAGGATTACATCAAGGCTCATCCTTAAGTCCTTACCTTTTTGCGTTGGTAATGGATGAGTTAACAGGACATATTCAAGGTGATATTCCTTGGTGTATGCTTTTCGCAGACGATATAGTGTTGATAGATGAAACTCAGGAAGGGGTAAATGCAAAAGCTTAACCTTTGGAGAGAAGTGTTGGAATCTAAAGGTCTTTCGCCTAAGCCGATCAAAGACAGAATATATATGGAGTGCAAGTTCAGTGCAAATGGAGGCCAAAACGAGTTAGGGGTGAGGATCGGAGATCAAGAAATACCAAAGAGCGACCGTTTTCGTTACCTAGGATCTATCTTGCAAAAGAACGGAGAATTAGATGGAGATCTCAACCATAGAATACAAGCTGGATGGATGAAGTGGAAGAGTGCATCCGGCGTGTTGTGTGACCGCCGTATGCCACTGAAGCTCAAGGGAAAATTTTATAGGACGGCAATAAGGCCGGCGATGCTGTATGGCACAGAATGTTGGGCGGTGAAGCATCAACACGTACACAAAATGGGTGTAGCGGAGATGAGGATGCTTCGTTGGATGTGTGGGCACACGAGAAAGGATAAGATTAGGAATGAGGATATCCGGGGTAAAGTAGGAGTAGCCGAAATTGAAGGAAAGATGAGAGAAAATCGGTTACGGTGGTTTGGACATGTGCAAAGAAGGCCTACTGACGCTCCGATTAGAAGATGCGACTATGGGACAGAGGTTCAGGGCCGAAGGGGTAGAGGAAGACCTAGGAAAACTTTGGAAGAGACCCTAAGAAAAGACTTAGAGTACTTGGATCTAACGGAGGACATGACACAGGACAGAACACAATGGCGTTCTAAGATTCATATAGCCGATCCCACTCAGTGACTTGGATTTTCCAAGTCTCCAACCGAGAAGTTTTCCTCACTCGGGAAATTAAGGGAACACTACCTCAACCTATATGCTCCACTCACAAAGCTTCAACATACAAGCTTCAACAAAAGAAAATTCAAAGAACTTAGCGAAGAAGGCTTTGGTGTATTTAACACAATACGTTGAAATGAAGGAAAGCTTATTTATTGATATCCCCGATAAGTTACAAATATGTACATATACTTGAGTCAAAATAAACAAACAAGAGGGAGCCTTCACAAAGGTTGCTTAGGAGAAGTCTCAGCAGTCGGTAGAGCCCCAGAAAGAGAAGGCACCGGAGGGGGATCATTCGGAGCCTCAGTACTGGACAAAACCCTAGAAGGAGGAGGCATCAGAGGTTGATCATTTGGAGCTTCATTACGCGGTACAGCCCCAGAAGACGAAGGCAATAAATGCCTTTGGAACAAACCCACAAATCTCTGATGATCAAGTAAAACCTGACCATCAGATTCCTTCATCTGGTCAAGCTTCCTCTTCATGTTTGTAGCATAGTCATGTGCGAGCCGGTGCAACTGTTTATTCTCATGCTTGAGCCCTCTAATCTCCTGTTTGAGACTCATCACTTCAGCCGCCAATGATTCAACTTGGCGGGTTCGATGCAAATAGGCGTTGGGCCATATTAGACACAAAAACCTGCACACTGAACACTGAGAGCCAGAGAATCCTTAACAGCCAACTCATCAGACCGTTTGGAAAGTAGTCTGTTATCTTTGGGAGTGAGAAGGTTCCTGGCCACTACCGCAGCGGTCATATCATTCTTCATCACGGAATCCCCAACGGTAAGAGGACCAGTAGGGGAGACGAAGGATGGGCGCCATATGTTGTCTGGAGAAGGCGGGGCTGCCTCTTCAACAAGGTTCAAGTCAAAATCGACGGTCGGAGGGGCCAGACATTTTCAAAGGTGTTGAAGAGAGAAGAGGTCGGACAAATTAAGATCTTAGAAGTGCAAGAATGGAGCTTCTACTGGTGGATATTCAAGTGTGCTTTGGAACTTAATGTCAGCCCTATATAAAAATCTGCACTCGACGAAGCTTCAGAAATCGAAGAGGCGCCTGCTCATAAATCGAAGAGGCGTTTGCTTTCTCAAAAGCTGGGCTGCTCAGAGACCACGAGGGTCGATCTCAGAAATCGAAGAGGCGTTTGCTTTCTCAAAAGCTGGGCTGCTCAAAGACCACGAAGGCCGATCTCAGAAATCGAAGAGGCTTGCTTTCTCAAAAGCTGGGCTGCTCAGAGACCACGAGGGCCGATCTCAGAAATCGAAGAGGCACCTACTTTTCCAGCCTTGTCAGCACCTGTCACACGCACACTCAGCTTTGCGGAAATTATGGGCATTCTGTCGAAGATTTCTGGCGAAGTAGAAAGCACATGAATCGTACTGTTCAATCACCCACTTCCCACACGCAACAGTAGCTCATAGGTACCACAGATAACTTTGCCAAAGTTCTCTGACAAAGTTGAGACACGTGAAGCTTGAAGCTCCCACTACATCGCTCTGACCAAGAAGGGTAAAAGAATTGCAAAGAAACAACACTAACAAAGTTTAGACACATAAATTTTGAAGGTCTAGCTACCATATTATTACCCACAAGGGTAAAGGAACAGTACCATTGCTGGATAATTGGAAAGTTCCGGTGTGTCAACCTCTGTGCTTCGTGGCAAGGTAGACTAGCAAACATGCCCAACCTTTACTCACATTCGAGAAAACACTCCTAACAAGATTGCTTGCTCCAAAATCGAAGAGGCACCGCCCTCCGAATCTCGAGAGCCAGACTCCCAACATGATTACTTTCTCAAAAATCGAAGAGAGGGTAAAGGAACAGTACCACTGCTGGATAATTGGAAAGTCCCTGTGTGTCAACCTTTGTGCTTCGTGGCAAGGTAGACTAGCAAACATGCCCAACCTTTACTCACATTCGAGAAAACACTCCCAACAAGATTGCTTGCTCCAAAATCGAAGAGGCACCGCCCTCCGAATCTCGAGAGCCAGACTCCCAACATGATTACTTTCTCAAAAATCGAAGAGAGGGTAAAGGAACAGTACCACTGCTGGATAATTGGAAAGTCCCTGTGTGTCAACCTTTGTGCTTCGTGGTAAGGTAGACTAGCAAACATGCCCAACCTTTACTCACATTCGAGAAAACACTCCCAACAAGATTGCTTGCTCCAAAATCGAAGAGGCACCGCCCTCCGAATCTCGAGAGCCAGACTCCCAACATGATTACTTTCTCAAAAATCGAAGAGACACCGCTCTCCGAATCTCGAGAGCCAGACCCCCAGCAGGATTGCTTTCTCAAAAATCGAAGATGCATCGTTCTCCGAATCTCGAGAGCCAGATCCCCGACAGGATTGCTTGTTCGAAAACCGAAGAGGCACCACTTTACCAACTTCAAGAGCTGGATCTCCTTGGATAAAGATTGTCTGTAATCTTCACACGCAACATCAGCTTTCCAGATACCACAGACCACTTTTTCAAAGTGCTCTGACAGAGTTAAAACATGTGAAGCTGGCAGCTCCCATTACCGTGCTATGACCAAGCAGGGTAAAGGAATAACATTATTACTTGATGTTAGGGAGACTCCTATATATGTTGACCTCCATCCCTAACGGACAGGCAGACCTGCAAAAATGCTCAACCCTTTCTCTTATCTGAGAGGGCACTCCCAACGAAGCCTTTCGAAATATTCAGCTTTCTTTCCCCCCGAGAATACCTCTGTAAACAAGCTATACTAGAACAAGAATATCTCATATCATCAGGGTTAAAAGCAAGAGTATCCTATATCATGCTTTTTCCTTGTCTTTTCCTTTGGCCTTGTTCTTACCTGCAAAACAAGGAGAAAAAGAGCAATCAGTCAGCACTTGGAATCAAGCTTCCAGCCAGGAACTGACTGCCTGGAACCCTTACCTGATTACTTACCTGGCATTGCTCTCGAGTACTCATCTTCAACATCTTATGCTTCCAGGGAAGATACCGCATCTGCTTGAGGAACAGATAGGACAAGTGAGAAGGATACAAGGAAGCATGTGGAGACAAGCGTAACAGCACACGTGCCTATACATCCACTACTCTGTCAAAAGCAAAAGTATCCCATATCAGCAGGGTCGAACGTACTCTAGATTTGATGGACTTGTTTTGACCCTCAAATTCTTCAGTCGGCCTTATACTCTGGAGGAAACCAGAAAACCCTCCAGCCCAGTTCAAGAATAAGCCTGTGAAAAGTTACTTCTTTAAAAGCAAAAGTATCCCATATCATCTCTTCTAAAGCAGATCCCCTAGCTCGACGACTTGGAGGACTCCTACTACATGGTTTATATCGCGTTTGACCAAGCATGAAACTACAAGTAAGCTTCAAGTGAAATTGATACATTACCTTGTGCATCTCCACCAGTTACAGATACCACCCCTGGATGGAGGAAGAGTACTTCCAGAGAAGATGCCACATCTACCTGTGAGACAGATAAGGCAAGTCAAGACGATACCACACTCCGGTACTTAGAAGTTTCGTGGCTACGAGATCATTCTCCCACAATATTTCCTAATGTCATTTGTACTAAATCATTCACTTGTACTCACTAAAGGAGAGCTTGAACCTAGGGCTGGGCACGGGCCGGGGCGAGCCGGGCCGAACCTAAGTTTGTAGGAACCTGACATTACCCGAAACGGGCCGGGACGGGGCGGGGATTAGATTTTCTTGTATAGGAACCGGACATTACCCGGCCCGGTTAAAACGGGCCGGTTCGGGCCGGGTCCACGGGTACCCTTTTTTTTTTTTTTTTTTAACTGCACTGCACAGATTGCAAACTGCACAGATTGCAATTTGCAACTGCACAATCACAGTGACACTGCATTTATGCAGATTTTGCACAAATTCACCATTATTCACATCTAATCTAAATACAAAGTCTAATATCCAAGTTCATAAATTAAGTTTTAACAATACATCCAAAATAAAAATATTACATCGTCCTCCAACATCTAAAAATGAAATCCACATACACAATATCCGAAAAGTCCAAGACATCCAAATTCCAAAAATCAAATACTCCAAAACAACATAAACATGACATCCGCAAATTAAAACCACATCCAACGCCCAAGTTCCAAAGAATGTACGCCCAAGTTCCAAATCAACCAACTAATCCCAGAATAGTTAGCTCAGTCTTGCTCCTCAAAGAATGTATGCCCGATCTATATAAATCAAAACTGCACATATATAAAAACTGCACATATATAAATCAAAACTGCACATATAAGTAAAACAAAACACACACACACACACACACACACAGAACATACACACACACACACGCACATACACACATACACACACAGAACATACACACACACACACAGAACACACATACATACACAGAACATACACACAGACACACAGACACACACACACACAGAACATACTAAACAGATTTTCAAAACAGATTTTCCAACACACACACACTCTCCATATTAAACTTTCTTGTTTCAAAACATATTTTCCAATACAAACATAGAAAATTCAATTACAAGAGGTTTGTTATTCAAGCACTAGAACATTTGGAAAACACCTTAAACAGAGACCGTATCATTTACAGAAGAACTCATATAGTACAACCAACCTCCCAGGTTAAGTATTAGCATCATCTATACAAACATTCAAGAATTTCCTGAGATCCCCCTAACGTGGTGCCTAATGCCGTCACCAGAGCTTCTGTGCCGGTAGACCGAAGGAAATCCAGAAAGTAACTAGAAAATTAATAACCCCAAGCCCAAAAATCGTGACGAAAGGCAAATGTGGAAAACATAAACCATTGTAAATATATGAAAAAATTATTAGGCTAAGTATTTGTCCTCAAATACAGTAGGAAACACAAACCATCATGATCAAAATGCCATTCCCAGCAATCAATTACCCAAAATTAAAGAACCCAGATTACCCTCATCACCATAAGAACAAGCTCCCCATGCATACAAAATAATCAAATTCCCAAATGGCAAATACAAACAAACAATGCAATACCAGAAATTAACGTAAATCAATCAGAAAACAGAAAACCCATATCTCAAAAACAATCCCAGATGTAGCGGAAAACGACGATACCTTCCATGGTGTGAGTTTCCGGGGAAACTATCGGTTTGTTAGTTTTTGACTTCTATACGGCTAAAAAGCGTAGTCCATTAGACCTGTTTGGGCAGATTGATTGAAGCAAAGGAGTACACAATTGAGCCTGCATGTTTTTGGTTTGCACCCAATAATTTTTTGAGATAGTTCACACTGAAAAATATAAACTGATTAGAAAATGAATGTATGTATAGCGGCATCAGCACCGAATAATTTTTTGAGATAGTTCACTTTACTTTCACATATAGAATTGAGAGAACATATATGAAGCATTTTATAGGCACTTCATGAAAAAATTTAGGCATAAAAAATCAGGGGAGAACCCCTTAATGAGATGCAATTGTTTGCTTTGAACTCGAATATCCAATCAAAATTGATCTTACCTTCAACGCCTCCCTACAAATGAAGAACAAACAAAGTCGCAGCTGGTGATGCTTTGTGGATGGCGGCTTGTGGCTGGCGCAGATGGTTTACGGCGGCTTATGAAGGTTTAGGGTAGGTGAGATGGGAGACAGAGAGAGAAAGAAAGAATGTGAGAGAGAGAGATCGAGAAGAAGGAGATCGAGAGGGAAGAGATCGAGAGAGAGGAGATCGATAGGGATGAGATCGAGAGAGATCGGGAGAGCGGAGAGATCGAGGGAGGAGGAGACAATAGAGGGTGAGACTGAGAGGGTCGAATTAGGTCTGATTAGGGGTGAGTGAGAGGGTCGAATTCTAATAATAAAAGAGACGGTAATCACAGTAGACCAACGGTCCGGGCCGGGGGCCCGTTTTCTCCAATCTTTAGAACCGGCCCGCCCCGTTATTTATCTGGAACCGGCCCGCCCCGCCCCGTTTTGTATTTGTAATTCTTGGACCCGCCCCGTACCCGCCCCGAACCGCAAAGACCCGCCCCGACCCGCGGGTCCAGGACCCGTTTGCCCACCCCTACTTGAACCTATGTACTTGTGTAAACCCTTCACAATTAATGAGAACTCCTCTATTCCGTGGACGTAGCCAATCTGGGTGAACCACGTACATCTTGTGTTTGCTTTCCTATCTCTATCTATTTATATACTTATCCACACTAATGACCGGAGCAATCTAGCGAAGATCACAAAAAGTGACCGTTTTCGCTACCTAGGATCTATCTTGCAAGAGAACGGAGAATTAGATGGAGATCTCAACCATAGAATACAAGCTGGATGGATGAAGTGTAAGAGTGCATCCGGCGTGTTGTGTGACCGTCGTAGGCCACTGAAGCTCAAGGGAAAATTTTATAGGATGGCAATAAGGCCAGCGATGTATGGCACAAAATGTTGGGCGGTGAAGCATCAACACGTACACAAAATGGGTGTAGCGGAGATGAGGATGCTTCGTGGGATGTATGGGCACACGAGAAAGGATAAGACTGGGAATGAGGATATCCGAGGTAAAGTAAGAGTAGCTAAAATTGAAGGAAATATGAGAGAAAATCGGTTCTGGTGGTTTGGATATGTGCAAAGAAGGTCTACTGACGCTCCGGTTCGAAAATGTGACTACGGGACAGAGGTTCAGGGCCGAAGGGGTAGAGGAAGACCTAGGAAAACTTTGGAAGAGACCCTAAGAAAAGACTTGAGTACTTGGATCTAACGGAGGACATGACACAAAACCGAGCGCAATGGCGTTCTAGGATTCATATAGCCGACCCCACTTAGTGGGAAAAGGCTTTGTTGTTGTTGTTGTTGTAAAGAGGGAGAGAGTGACGGTGAAGGAAGGAAAAAAGGAAGAAAAATATAGGATAACAATAAAATATTTATATTTATTAATTAAAAATAATATAATATTATTTATCCAGCTTTTTAGTCTTACATTGCACCAAACGCTTCACTAAGCTAGTCCAGTTTAGTCTATTCTAAGCCAGTCCAGCTTAATCCCTCAAGTTAGTCTAGTCCGAGATAGTCCGGTGCAACAAACTCTCCCCTAAGTCATTATTTGTCGTTTTTTTTATTTGTGCGATATTCTAATTAAATCAAAACTATTTGTATAGCCCAAATTACTGAGTCATTTGAGATGTAATATGCGCACATTCGTGATAAAAAGGACAATGAGACACTGGAGCAATTTTATGATTAGTCTACATTAAGCACAACATAAATAGTTGAGACTCTGAGATATTGGGAGCAATTTTATGATTAGTTGACAATTATTCTTATGTGGAGGCATGTTTCCTTAAGATGGGATCAAGAATTTTACTACAATGTGGAGTTTATTTCTATATATAACTAATCTCAAGTTGCGACTATAATTTACGACTTTAAGGAGGTTATTTCTTTATAGAGTATTACTTTAGACAGTTTTTACAGTAGAAATAATATTTTTTTTGTTTTTGTGATCAAATAGAAAAAATTAAAGTTATTCATATTCTCATTCTTCACAATTTGGTCGATCCTTTAGTTGATTCTTACTTGAATATCTCATCATGTGTGATTCCTAAATGCATTGATGCTTCTATTGGGAGACTTGACTGACAACTAATAAACGCCACCTCTGCCCTTTATGCTTCCTACTTTTTGGGCTTCATTAATTTGACAACAAAAGCCCATTATTTTAAAAGTTGACAATGTCTTAGGAAGCCGAAATATTTAACCCATCAAAGGAAAATGAGGCCCAAGACGCCTTTGGACAGCGAAAAGACAGGTGCGGCGTCGTTTTCGTTTGGGTTGTCTTGTTTCTTCCCCACTTCATCTCAAACTGCGCAGAGATTCTCGAGGGGGAAGAAGGTGAGAGAAAAATGGAACAGAGAAGGTTCTGGTGTGAAAAGGGCTCGCTCTTAGGGTTAATTTTGGGGGTTTTTCTCACATGCAATGAGTGCATCATAAGGTCTGATGCTTCAATCCACGAGTACAGAAATGAAGCTTTCAATCCTCAGTCAAACGCCTTCTTCTTCCATGGCGGCAGTGAAGGCCTCTACGCTTCCAAGGTCCACGATTCTACTGATAATTCTTCAGCAGACAATCGCCACCTCAAGGGCAAGTCCTTCATCAAGTAAGTGAAAACTCTGTCCTTTTATCTTCTATGCATAGCAAGTTTTGTTACTTTACTAATTAGTTTACCTGGTAAACTTTAAATTGCTGATACCAATTGATTTAAGATAGCGGGTTATGTTTAATTAGTATGTTAATGTGAATATTAGTTGGTAAGTTGAGAAATTGAGATTGTTTCTCAACTGGGTTATGATCATGGTTTCGAAATCGGTTCAAAATTTGTGATTTTATAAGTTCATGATTTGGATTTGAGTCGGTTGGTAGTGGCGGACTTACTGATGGAATTGCAGGTTTGAGAGTGTCACTTTTGTGAGGACGAAAGAGTCTGCGAATAAGATGAGTGAAATGCAGCAGGACACTGGATTGGTGGAAGCTATCATTCTTGAAGTGAAGGACAGGGCAAGGATTGGAGCTTCTTTCGTCCAATCGGATCAAATATGCTGCACCAAGAATCTATCGAATTCTGGATACTGCACGGCGGGAGAGGTTGTTATCCACAAAAATCTGGACAACCCGGAGTGGCCTGTGCGCATCAAAACATTCTTTAATGGAAACGATGAAGAGGCGAAGATGGAAATTAAGACGGTTGATATCAACAGTTCCGGAATGTACTACCTTTATTTCATGTACTGTGATCCGCAACTCAAGGGTACGCTGATTAAAGGAACGACCATCTGGAGAAACCCAGATGGTTATTTGCCTGGGAAGATGACTCCTTTGATGACATTCTATGGCTTTATGTCTTTAGCTTACCTTGTGCTTGGACTTGCCTGGTTTCTGAGATTTGTTCAGTTTTGGAAGGATATTATACAATTGCACTACCATATCACAGCGGTGATTGCTCTTGGAATGTGCGAAATGGCTGTGTGGTACTTTGAGTATGCCAATTTTAATTCAACTGGGATCAGACCTATGGGCATTACATTGTGGGCTGTAACTTTTAGTGCTGTCAAGAAGACTCTTTCCCGCCTTCTTCTTTTGGTCGTTTCCATGGGTTTTGGTGTAGTGAAGCCTACACTTGGTGGTATAACTCTGAAAGTATTTCTTCTTGGTCTGGTATATTTCGTGGCATCAGAAGCACTTGAGCTTGTTGAACATTTGGGGAACATCAATGATTTTTCAGGAAAAACAAAGTTATTTTTGGTTCTACCTGTTGCCTTCTTAGATTCGTGGTTTATTCTATGGATTTTCTCATCGTTATCAAAAACTTTAGAGAAACTTCAGGTAATCTTTCTGTTTTGAATTTCTCTCTGCAGCTTCAGCATTTTGCATGCTTAAATTTAGTATCTTCTTTTTCACGCAACAAGCATGCGGCATTGGATGTGGCTTCCACCTAAATATGCACGAATACCATGCAATTTGAAGCTTTTCTTGTGCTAAGCGACAATGTAATCTGTGATTTTGCTGGAAGAATGCTTAATGATGTTATTATATATGTACAGCTTAGGATAACGTTACGCCCTTGAACGATGAAATATGATGATGTTATACTAATGACCAATTTTTCACCATCTTTCTTTGTTTCTTTTGGATGCAGATCAGGAGAAACTTGGCTAAATTGGAGCTATACCGAAAATTTACCAACTCGCTTGCAATATTTGTGCTTCTTTCGGTTGCTTGGATTGGGTTTGAGGTATTATTCATTGCAAAGTTGTATTTTGCGAATTAACAATTCCCATGCGGTGCAGTGGAGTGTCTTTATTCATATTGTTTTCTCCAGTAGGAACTAATAATTTAACTCCTTTGCATGTTGTTGACTCAGCTATACTTCAACGCAACAGATCCCCTGAGTGAGTTTTGGCAAATTGCTTGGATTATTCCAGCATTCTGGAGTATTCTTGCCTATGCTCTCTTGGCAATAATATGCATCCTTTGGGCCCCTTCACGTAACCCAACTAGGTATTTTGTTTTTGACATTGCATCTATAAAGTTTCCTGGTGTCTTATATCATTTTTGCGTACTTATTATAAAAATCTATACATTTGTCCTTAAAGAATGTTTTGTTTGTTAGACTTGAATGCCATAAGATTTATTATAAATGATTTGCTTGCTATTGTTGTCGAAATTTTGTGGAAATTGTGTGTCGGATGTGCTATAGAAACAAGGAAACTGGGACTTTCTTCTGTGGGGGTTTGTTTCCCATTTTTATTCCTCTTTTTGGTGGGTTGAATCCAAAATGCAAATGGCGAAGGCAATTATGGAGTTGTGTTATCTTGTGTTTGCAAAAACCAATCACATTGGTGCTTTACATGTAGATATGCATACATGGAGGAAGCAGGAGATGATTTTGATGAGGAGGGCATCTCGTTAACCAGTGGAGCGTTGAAGGTCAGTGGAGATGTGGCAATCAAGCGAGAATACGAGAATGCGCATGCAGATGATATGGAGGAGGATAAGCGAGAGTAGATGCTTCCCTTCCCTGTATAAAAGTGATTACCATGACGAAGCTTCATTTTCTTGATCTTACAATTCCGGAGTTCTGTGAATCGTTGATACAGAATCCAAGTATTATGTATTATGCAGAGAGAATAGGTGGAAAAGTAGTTACGGTAGAAAATATGTGAAGAAAGAAATACAGGTGAACTTTGGTGCTGTACCGTAATTTTCTGACCGCTTTCAGTTCCGGCAGCGGAACGAAGATAATCTAATTCTTGACGAGCTATGTCCATTCTCTGAATCTCTGCTTTTGGATATGGTTCTCATTTTCTAGCAAATTTTTATGATGTGTAAAATTCTGATATAGACCCATTGTAGGGGTAAAAAATCATTTCACTAGTAGTTAGTGACAATTTTTCCATCATACTCATGAGTAAGAAGTAAATGAAGAAAGCAAATGAAATTTAAATGACTCTTTGGGGGCGTTAGAGAGGGTCGGTTTGGATAAGATGAAAAAATGATTTTTTTTTTCTGTCGACGCTGATTCACTTTTAAATAAAAATAAAATAAAATAAATAAAACGCAACTTTTGTGTACAGTTGCGAGTTTTACAATGCTCATTGACTTAAAATAAATTCACAACAACTCAAATTTAACATACTCAACTATATCCCCTTAAGTTTTTAGCAATTCATTCAATCTATGTATCTTGTTTTTATGACAAATTTAACCTTGGGTTAGTGAAATTCGAAATTATAATAAAAAAATAATGACTTGTGTGGCTGCTGGGATTCGAGCCCAGGTCTCCACGGCCACAACGTGGAATTCTTACCACTAAACTACAGCCACAAGATGTTGTTAACTGGTCAATGAAACAACTTATAGTATGTGAGTTCCTAGGGCTTCCCTTGAAGTCCTAGAAAGAAACTACTGGTTTGATAGTGTTCGAGGTATTGCCGAGCCAGTTGATAGATCATAGAATGGTCCTGGTTTCCATCAACGCTCATAGTTCTTTTTCATCGTGCAGACAGAGAGAGTGATAGACTAAAACCCTAATTAGGATGGTCTTTTATGCTTGCACAGTCGCACCAAAACATATTGAGTTGAACCAAACATATTAAGGTGTAGTAACATTTTGTTGACGAGTGTGTCCAATGGGGTACTTATTGTGTTCGCTATTTGCCATCAGTTGATCAACCAGTCGGCTTTTCGGGTTGTCCAAACGTGTCTTTCCGATGTCTCCAAGTTTGAAGGGGTATGGTGGACTAAAACCCTAATTAGGATTCCTTGTTGTCAACTATGTTGTATATATATTTATTTGTATTTCAGATTTCCTACTTAGGAATCCTATTCCTTGTAGCCCAATACTTGTAGGAATCCTAGTCCTTATAGCCCAAGAATTGTGATGCATATATAAAGGGATTTACTCTATGAATGAATTTAATCATCCCATTCTACAACAACAAAGTTATCTTTCATTCAGGTAATATTACAGTGAAAGCTGCTTCCACTGGTTTTTTATTGTTGGGTTCTTTCTGATTGTCTAATAGTTGGGGGAAGACGAAGAACATGGGTCAATATCATCGCCACCACGGGCGGCCACGGCAGAGACAGCCCTTATTATGATCTCTTGTTGTGGGGTTGTTGGTGTCCTTGTTATTTAGTCTCTTCGTTTTTCGGAAGAATTCGGAGATGCATGGCTAGTTTCCCTGTTCTGCAGCGTTTTGGATTGGATAACTGCAGACACCACCACCATCACCAAAAACACATTCTCACTAACCTTCTAAAAGTTGTATCCCCTTCTGAATAGCTTTTGGTATTTTTAGCCAATTATTCTTTGTAACAGAACATGTTCTACGAATTTGTGTCTGCAAGTGTAAACGGAGAGGTTTTCCCTTGAAACAATGCACAGTCCTAGCGACGTCATTGGTCCATTGCATATTTGTCACATGTTTAAAATTACTTTAAACTATTCAATAAATGTTTGTCATGTAACGTCACTGATTATATAAGAGTAAATCTCATACAGATGGTATAGCCCACCCGACCAACAAAGCTCATGCGCCCACATGAAAAACACTAACTCCTAGCAGCTAGAATAGGTTATCGTTGGGCCTTACCGTGGTTGCACCAATTTGCGAGATCTTAAGAAAATTATTATGTTATGCTCCTTCATGCAACTTTATTTTTCTCAACAATAGTGAAGGTTGTGAAGGTTTAGACGAACAAAAATACACATCAAGATCTGTCGTCAGAGAACTACAATTGCATGCCCTCCTTTTTCACATAAAGCAAAAAACAAGAGACCTAACCCTCAATAGAATGCCTTATAAGAACTTTAAAACCACAAACAAATCAATTAAAATCCCAACTGTCCCATGTAATACTTCTTGCATTCCCGGTATTGTGTATGCTTTTTTATTCTCTACATTGATTATTTGGTTATTCACCTAATCACAATTAGAGTGTTGTAAATATTATTAAAATATATACCATCAATGAGCAAATGATCAATGTGTTTTTTCTTATCAAAACAATACTTTTGCAAATTATATATCCATCCTTTCATTTTTGTTGAATAAAAGTACATACATATGGCTCGTTTGAAAGTATTTTTAAAATTACTAAAAGCTTTTTTTGGTGAAATTGATTTTGAGTTCTAAAAGCACTTTAAGTAGTTTTTGGAAGAAGCACCACATATCTACTTCTTGCAAGAAGCACTTAAAACATTGTTTCAAGATCCTTTAAATTTTTACTAAAAATGTTTTCAGTTATTTTAAAAACACTTTCAAATGGCCTTAATCATTTATAAACTCATGTTTTGTTTGGCCAAATAAAGTAAAAGCTAGCCTTCATGCATGCGCTCACGCGCGTGCATAAGACATTTTTTAAATCACGTCGTGCTACATGCGACTTACTCGTTTTAAATGTATTTATATGCATACATTGACAAAAGGAAAGTCAAATATTTGAAGTACATGAATATTCTTAGATCATGCTAGAAGAAACCCCTCATAAACCAATTAAAGTAGCTGAATTCACATAATAAAATCGGTCTCTATAGAATTTATATTAAGAATAGAGAAAATAATATTTAATAAACAATTGATTGAATCACATTATTACTAGCCTATTGTTAGGCAAAACCCACCCTGATCCCCCATAGTGTAGATAATATTTTTTGTTAAAAAAATAAAACAATAATTTGACAACTAATTTAATCACATTATTATTCGCGTGTGAAAGATCTTTTTTTATAACCGGCATTACTTGCCTCTTAAGATGTTTTGAACGTGTTTAAAAATAGAGAAAATAACATTTAATACACAACTGATTGAATCACATTGTTGCTAGTCCATTGTGAGGCTAAACCCACTGTGACAGCCCGTCCCGAAATATATTTTCGATGGTGTGAAATGTCTATATTGCTCTTGAACGTTGTGTGGTTGTGTTGTGTGGAATGAGCTTAATATTTGACCAATCCATTTTCTTCCTTAGCTTTTGGACCCAATTAGATTTTTTTAAAGTTTTATTTGTTTTTGTTTGGTTGCCCAAACCTGGACCACACACACACACACACACCAACCCGTGAACCCTCTCTCTCCTTCCCTCTTGGATTTCTTCCATTTTTCGTACAATTGTACGGTCAACTCGTGAACCAACCCTTTCAGGCACGGATCGAGGTCGTATCTTTGGACTCCTTGCAAGCTCGGAAGTCGATCTATACCCTTGGTTGGATGCAAGGACTTGTAGAACGTGAGTTACCCGAGCTCCGGTGAGGGCTGGAAATTCCTCCGATGTGATCGCAAAAGTTTTAGGTTGCTTCGAGACTTAAGAAGGTAATATTTTTACTTTTCTAGCACGTTGGATAGATTTTGGAGTGGTTTTGACGTTAGAACATTCAGGTTTATATAGTTGCAAGGTTTGGTAGGATTCCTCGAATTTTTCCAACAAGTTTTTGTTGGATTTAGGACCTAAAAGTGATAAGGAAGTGTTCCTCTAGTCCTAAGCTTCAATTTGGTACAAATTTCATGAAATTTAGATGAAAAATGAGAAAGATATTGAAGTTTAAAGTTTTTCCCAGTTTCCGGTGACACAGACGGCAACGACGACAGAATCCGGTGACTCGCCGGAGAAGAAGGCGAATATTCCGTCAACTTTAATAGAATATTCTAACGGTGTTAGGTATCTTTAAAGGAATATGCTTTTATTTAAACGAATATTCCCTAACGTTGTTAGGGAATCCGTCAGTGTGCAAGGCACGTGCTTACGCATGGGCGGTATGTCTGGCCGTGCCTTGGCCGACGCGTGGGACGTCGGAAAATTTTTCTAAAAATATGGGGATGTTCTTGGGGTTGAGTAGATCACGTTGTTATATTCAAACACCCCAATTGAGTAATGTATGAGAAGTTATTACCTAGTTTTGGTTATGTGCTTTAATAACGTTTATATAGTTGTTTCGCATATAGGTGAGACCTATCCTGAGGACGAGCACAGTCAAGGAAGGCTCGGGGGTTACGACCCTTCCACATATCAGTGAGTGGACTTTTAGTTTTCAGTATATACTTATATACTTGATATTTTTCCCAGAAAATGTGTTTAAATGAAATTATCTTTTGAAATGTCATGCCTATTGATTTATACTTAGACTATGAAATTGTATGGTATATACATATGTGATTCGACGCGGTGGACGCTCAGGTAAGTACCAGGTGAGTTGTAGATTGTTATTGTGAATTGATGATCATGTGAGATGTGTTGAGAGCTCATAAACCTGCACCCCAGTGTTAGTGCTCCCGCCCGTGGTTAGGACACAGTCCTTCACATGATGTTCACCTCCCGCACCATACGCTCACCTTGGATCCAAGTTAGGTGATAGTCATGTCGTACAGACCACTATAGGTGGTTCCGACTCGTAGGTGACCCGCGATTATTTGCACAGTCTTCACATGATCATAGCACTTGAGCGTATTTATTTACACCCAATCATGTCATACAGACCACATTAGGTGGTTCTGACTCGTGTGCATGCATACTTGTTGAGCTATAGATTCAGCCATACAGGCCCCTTTAGGTGGATCCAGCTGATATGTTATTTCTCATGAGTTATTTCACCTAAGTTATTTCTGTTGCATTGTGATATTTGGCAGGGCATACTTATGATTATCGCTATTTTGAGTATGGTTTTGATATAAATATGAATATATTCTATTTTCTGGGAAATTATACAAGTTTGACGGTAAAGGGTTAGAACTTTTGATAAATGAAATGGTTTGAAAAGCTTTGTTTTTGCCCACTCACACTTTCTGTTTTGCGCCCCTCTAGGTTTTAGGTAGGAATACTTATTGGTGGCTCAAGAGAAATTCACAGCAGCTTTGACAGATTATCACTAGTGTAGGACCATCTTTGATACTGTATAATTAGTATTCGTCCTGCTGGACTGCACTTAGGCTACTTATGCTCTAGTTATGTATAGTCACACTTATTCCCGTTTTGCACCTTACCTTATCTAGTGCTCTAGTTGGTTTGGTTTTTATTTATTCGCATTTCTTTATATCATTATTGCTTCCGCACTGTGCACATGCCTACATCACCCTCACGTGACGGCTAGCATGCCTCGAATTAGGTCGGGGTGTGTCACCCACCCCCTCCCTCTTAATGTAGATAATATCGTTTGTTAAAAAAAAATAATCATTTGACAAAAAATTAATCACATTATTATCTGCGTGTGAAAGACTTTTTTTATAACCAACATTATACGCCATCTTAAGATGTTTTGAATGTGTTTCAAAACAGAGAAATTGAATCACATTATTGCTAACTTATTGTGAGGTACTAATTAAAAAAACAGCATAAAAAACTAATTAAAATGACGAAGACATTTTTTGAATCACGGCGTGCTGCGCGCAACTTACATGTTTTAAATATATTTATATGCGTAAATTGACAAAAGGAAAGTCAAATATTTGAAGTAAATGAATAATCTTAGATCATACTAGAAGAAACCCCTTATAAACCAATTAAAGTAGTTGAATTCATATAATAAAATCGATTTTTATAGAATTTACATTAAAAATAGAGAAAATAATATTTAATAAACAATTGGTTGAATCACATTATTGCTAGCCCATTATGAGACTAAGCACACCCCTCCCCTTTAGTGTAGATAATATCGTTTGTTAAAATAAAAAACAATCATTTAACAACTAATTTAATCACATTATTATCTACGTGCGAAAGACATATTTTATAACTGACATTACACGCCTCTTAAAATGTTTTGAACGTGTTTAAAAATCCACGTGCAACAGACCTTTTTTTATAACCAGCATTACACGGCTCTTAAAATGTTTTGAACATGTTTAAAAATAGAGAAAATAATATTTAATAAACAACTGATTGAATCACATTATTGCTAGCCCATTGTGAGGTTAAGCCCACCATCTCCCCCTTAGTGTAGATAATATCGTTTGTTAAAAAAAACAATCATTTGACAACTAATTTAATTACATTATTATCTGCGTGCAAAAGATTTTTTTTTATAACTAGCATTACACGTCTCTTAAGATGTTTTGAACGTGTTTAAAAATAGAGAAAATAATATTTAATAAACAACTGATTGAATCACATTATTGCTAGCTCATTGTGAGGCTAAACCCACCTCTTCCCCTCAGTGTAGATAATATCATTTAAAAAAAAAACAATCATTTGACAACTAATTTAATCACATTATTATTCGCGTGCAAAATACCTTTTTTATAACTGGCATTACACGCTCTTCAGTGGACTCTCAATTGCAATAGCAATTGGATTCAATTGTCTTTGGACCCAACAATGATGCTTCACCGATGGAAAAACCAAGAGGCGATTGGGCAAAAGGCAGTAGTCCTTGCAACAATGGCAAGGACTTGCGACTGCTTGAAGCCTAGCAGACAGGGGGCGCCTTAGAGCAATTCCACCCCTAAGGACTTTGCGCCAGCACTCAGCGCATTTATCCACTCAAATGAACAGTAATAGACTGGAGTGAACAGTAATAGGCCAAGGCATCTCCACCCCTAAAAAAATGCGCTGGTACCCAGCGCATTTATTTGGTGTGTTTTTTTTTTTAAGTTTATTTCGGATAAGATTTTTAACCAATTTCAGATAAAATTTCAAATAAACTTAAAAAAAAATACACACTAAAATAAAATTACATACTCATCAAATAAACTAAAAAAAAAACACACTAAAATGAAATTACATAAACTCATCAAATACACTTTATTCTTCAACCACAAGTTTTTTGGTATTTTTTTTTCACACAAAAAGTATATGAAAGCTTTGGTAGAAAGTGTAGAAAATATTGAAATGTGGTGTAAGGTGGAAGATGAGAGTTAGGTATTTATAGAAAAAATAAATAAATTTTTTTTTAAATTTTATGTATTTTTTAATATTTTTTCTGTATGTTTTAATAAATTTTAATTAGTTAATTAACATGGACCGTTGATCTGTGATCGGACGGTATATTTTAAAAGTAAAATTTAAATTTTTTTTACCGTTGGAAATCCAACGGTCTAGAAAAACTAGCCGTTGGAAATCCAACGGATATAAGAATGCCACGTCGCTGATGGGATCCGGAGCACAAGTGGGCTGACAGCCCTGTCGGCTACTCGCGGCAGCGCCTGCGTGAAGCGCACGCGCCAGGCAAACTGCCCAGCTTCTTGCTCAGTCTGTTTTGGGCTGGGCTCTTGCCCAGCTCGGGCTGGGTACCAGTCAAATTGAGGGGTGGACTTGGTTGACAGGGTGTTGGCCCTGTTTTTCTCCTGGGTCCTGGGCAAATTCCACTCCGGTGGAATTGCTCTTATGTGAAGCCCAGTCTTTTGCAGCGCCACCACGTGGCGCTTTGTGAGCCTTTGGTTTCAAAAGATTGCCCAATTTAACAGCTGGGATTAATTTAACTCCAAAAAATCTTAAAAATTACCAACACAAATATTTAATAATTTCAAAAAACTTACAAAGTTCACACTTTAAAAATCTTATAAAATTATACACTTGCAAATTAAATATTTAGAATTAAACCAAAATCTACATCGATAATATCATGTAAATGTGACAAAGACGCATTAATATTTAATGTGACGTCTTTTACTATGCTGAGAGTATTTTTTTATTATTTTTCCTCATGTGACCACTTTTAATATTTCCATCTTTTTCTTTTCTTTTTTTGTTTGAAAAAAGGTGACAATGACATAATATTATAATAATAAAAACAAGGGGCTTTTAGATCCAGGTCCAAAAACATAGAATATTTTTAGGAGTGACTCCAGTTATCTAATTATATTTTTTTATTTCTTTTATACTCCTTTTATATTTTCTAAAAATATTAAAAATCAATTAAAATCTTTTAATATTATGCATTTTTCAACTCCAAAATATCTAATTAATATCTTATAAACAAAAAAAATATAAATATACTAACATAAATCTATCTGCAAAACATTCTACCCTAACTCAAGTAGCAAAATATATGAATGTATATTATAACTATAAGTGAGATATGAAACCTAACTAAAAGGTAGAAAAAAAACATAATATACCTACAAGCAAGACTTAATCTATGACAGGTTAACTATGAAAAATAATATGTCATATAGGTAGATAAATACAATTAACCTGTGATATAGGTTGATTATAAAAATTTAAAAAAAATCTATAAATGGGTTAAAACAGGAGGAAGAACAAGAAATAACAAAAAATATATAAAAAGAGATAATTAGGAAGAAATTTGATTTTTACAATTAGTTTTTTCTTTTAAGAGATAATTATTGATAATTAAATAATTAAATTTAAAGAATTTGACTTATTTTAATAAATTGGACCATTCCTACTGTTGGCTCAAAAAATTGAAGTTATATCAAGTTTCTCCTAAAAACAATGATAATGCGACCTTTTAAAGTGAGACTTTCTGTAAACTCTTTAACACTTCATTCTTTTGTCACATTATTTTATAATATTGGCATGAGAATTGATGCTAAACTATGAAATGGCAGAGAGTTCATAGAGTGTCCCACTTTTGAGAGTCTTGTAAGAGTGGGATAAAGAGTTCTAATTGAGAAATGCTAAGAAGACTCTTTCAAAAGTGGGACTCTCTATGAACCATTTATCACCTCATGATTTTGTCACTATGTTTTATAATATTAGCACGAAAATTGCCGTTAAACTGTGAGTTAATAGAGAGTCCATGAAAAGTCTCACTTTGAAAGAGAATCCTCAATATTTCTCATCTCTAAATTTATGAAGCAAGAAAAAATTCTCTGTGTCACTTTAAATTTAATTTTGTAGACTCTTGAAAATGCTCTAAAACAAAAAAGTAACAACCAAATTAATGTTCTCCAAGTTATATTTTCTCCCTAGAAGGACCATATTCTTTTCATCATATTAGCTAATTACATAACATGTTTAATCAATTATTAATTAATAGATCAAGTTTTACATTTATGTTATGCTAAAGTGCTCAAAATATAAAATTCATCTTTTTCAACATCCTCGTAGAGAAGAATATTTTCTGCATTGTACACCAAAGAAATGTTAAGGATATTTTCTGTCACCTCATATTTTTTGTATAATATTTTATAATATTGACATATGATTTGACATTAAAGTATGAGGTGAGTCAGGTGACAAAAAATTCATAAAGGATCTCATTTTTTTAGAGAGATTCCTTAACATTTCTCTCATACATAGTTGGGTAGGAGATTTAGTTTAAAGCCCGAAATAAAGAATTATTTATCTTATGGTGCATTTAATGATGTGTCTATCTCTGTTAATACGTATTAGTAACATACTAAAATAAAAAGACACGTAATTAATATAAAGAAAAAACTTATGTAGAGACACCTTAATTACATTAAATGTATGACAACTCTCATAAAAACGTAAAATTTCCTTTATTTTGTTCACATGCGACTTCACGATAATTTCTAAGTATATAAAAACTGCCGTAACGAGACAACGTTACGTAAACTTTCCTCGATAATAACTAGGAACTTCTCCCAAAAATTACGACAAGCGCTTTGTACAAAGAGACACGTAAATTCCATGCAAAACATAATTCAACATAGTTATCTGCTCCAATGTGGGCCCACCTCTTTTATCCGATAGCTTAAAGGCAAAAATATAATCACAAAGTTACAGTTTACAAGCAATTGGAAAAAGAAAACGAAAGGAACACAAAATCGAACTGTGGAGATTGGAGTTTATATGACCGGGAGAAATTGCTGAAGTGCACAAGAACTAGTTTCTCTTCTTAATTATCAGATTCTGCGATCTGGGTTTTGAGAAGAAAAAAACCATATTTTCTCAGGAAAATCCGTAAAAGTTTTCCTTTTCTTCTTCGTACATTTGTAATATTGGGTTCGATAAACTATCGTCATCTGAGTTTTATGTTGTTGGGTTGTGAATCTTTTGATCTGGGTCCCTCTGTTTCGGCTTCATAAATTGGAGACTGAGTGTTTCAGTGTGTAAAAAAAATGAAGGAAAAGCTTGGATTTTTAGTGTGTGTGTGGTTTCTGCTATGTAGGGTTTGTGTGGGGAGGTTCGTGGTGGAGAAGAACAGGTTGAAAGTGACTTCTCCGAGCTCGATGAAGGGCGATTACGAATGTGCGATTGGGAACTTTGGGGTTCCTCCATACGGAGGAACGTTGGTCGGAACTGTACTATCCGAAGACCAATCAGATGGCATGCAAAGGGTTTGAAGATACCGACGAAACCTTCAAACCGAAGCCCCGTGGTCTGCCGACGTTTGTTCTTGTCGATCGAGGAGGTTAGAATCTTCGATTTTTTGATATTTTTCACTAAATTTATGAACTTTTATGGTAATAGTTTGGTATCAGTGTGCAAATTTGTGTAGAAATAATTATGGGGTGTTATGGAATTTGCAATTGATGTATATGGCATTTAGTTTAGTGTGTTTTTTTGTTCTATACTTGTGGTTTGTATCTAATCCCGTTGGCGAAACTCGCAAGTATATTTGAAAAGTTTAGCAGATTTTAATAACTGATAAAAAAGTTGGGTTGTGTTGGCTGGTTATGGTTATGGTTCTTGTGTATTCATAATTCAAGCCCTTACCCTCCTTGACAAGTTTTTTTATGACTCATTTCTGCGAGTCCGTAAGCGGATGGTTTTGATCGGGACATTTCTAAGAACGTGCATGTAAGGCTTTTGTGTCCCTTCACTGATTTGTTTTCGTTATATGACTAATTGACTGTGACGTCCTGGCAGATTGTTACTTCACAACGAAGGCATGGAATGCACAGAAAGCGGGAGCGGCCGCCATTCTTGTTGCAGATGACAGGAATGAACCGTTGATTACCATGGACACTCCTGAAGAAGAAAATGCGGATGCTGCTGATTATCTGCAGAATATCACAATTCCTTCGGCTCTCATTAGCAAAGAGTTGGGAGATAGTATAAAAAAATCTCTATCGGGTGATGAGATGGTCAACATAAATCTAGACTGGACAGAGGCTCTTCCACATCCAGATGAACGTGTTGAGTACGAGTTTTGGACGAATAGCAATGATGTGTGCGGGCCAAAGTGCGACAGCCAGATTGAGTTTGTGAAGAACTTTAAAGGAGCAGCTCAGGTACTTGAGCGGAAGGGGTACACCCAATTTACTCCACACTATATAACATGGTACTGTCCAGAAGCTTTTGTTTCGAGCAAACAGTGCGAGTCTCAGTGTATCAATCATGGGAGGTACTGTGCTCCTGATCCAGAGCAAGATTTCAGTGAAGGTTATGATGGGAAAGATGTTGTGGTCCAAAATCTCCGTCAAGCTTGCTTCTATAAAGTGGCCAATGAAAGTGGAAAGCCATGGCTTTGGTGGGACTATGTCACTGACTTTGCGATACGTTGCCCAATGAAAGAGAAGAAGTACAACCAAGAATGTGCAAATCAAGTTATTGAATCCCTTGGTATGGTAGCAACTTCTCATATGTTGAAAGTTAATATTTGATTAACCAATGCACTACTGTTAGCTGCATTGTACATGTGTTGTTTAGCTTAAGTACAATTTAATATTTTTGCTGATTTGTGTTTTGATTTTGTTGCTAGTTGTTTCTGCTTGCTTTTCGAGTATAAATTCTATAGTATTTTGGGAACTTTATCAATTTGCCAGTTTGAGCTACATTGTCAGTTTGAACTGCCATCTCTTTGATGACTTATTTATTTGCATTTCTATGATTCGCCTGTCTATGTTTTGCAATAATTGAAGTTTCTTGGCTGGTGTTAACTCGTATTCTTCAATATTTAACCGAAGTATGTGAGTATTGTTCATGTGATCAAGTTTTGTTTTTTATCCTGCTATAATTTGCCCGAAAGTTTTAAGCTTGGTCGGTGTATAGAAATTCATGAAATGAAATATCAAAAACTCTGATGTGAGTTGTCTAAATATCTTCCTCTCCTTGGCTGGTTTTTGTGGATTGTTATTTACTCTGCTAAAATCTGAGCACCATAAAGTAACTATTTCCACGTATTTTCTGTAAAAGGTGCTGATCTGAAGAAGATACAGGAATGTATTGGCGACCCTGAAGCTGATGAGGAGAATGCAGTTCTGAAGGCCGAACAGGATGCCCAGGTTGGGCCCATGGGAACTGTTTGACATGTTTTAGCTTTATCCCCTCATCTTTTCATGTTTTGCATGCAGTGTGCAGTGTGCTACTTTGTTCTTATGTTTCTCTTCTCAAATGTTGTTGCAGATTGGCAAGGGCTCCCGTGGAGATGTTACAATATTGCCAACTCTTGTTATAAACCGCGTACAGTACAGAGGTATAATACAAATCTTTTCCATATCCCGTTAGGCATTTATTCACATCACTTTTCTTGTCTCACGTTTGTTTCCTTTGTTTTTTTTAAGGGAAACTGGACAAAGGAGCTGTTCTCAAAGCCATCTGTTCTGGTTTCCTAGAGAACACTGAGCCCGCTGTCTGTTTAAGTGAAGGTCCTCATTTAGCCTTGTTTTTCTATGTTCTTCATTGATATAGTTATGTAGATTGATTCTTGTTATTCCACATGTGAGTTTGTATGATGGTACATGCGAATGTTTGCTACTGCTTACCTGTCTTTACTGTACTTGCCATTATTATAAAGACGGTGATTTCCGCCAACCAAAACAACGATACTTTTGTTCGCAATAAAAAATGACTGTAATATGGTTCACATGGTAAAATGATGATACCCCTTCCAGTAAAAACCTTCCTACTTGAATGTGTGCGTGTGAGCAGGGCTTGCAATAAGTTTTGGAAACGGTAGTACTTTTAGTTTCCAGCCATATCTGGATAGCATATTTTTACCAAGATTATCCAATTGAAGCATCATTTCATTATTTGGCTCGCACTCTATTATCTCTGAGATGGTGTCAATTGCCTGTTTATTTTCAGATGTGCAAACAAATGAGTGTTTGGAAAACAATGGAGGTTGCTGGTATGACAGAGCTGCTAACCTTACGGCTTGCAGGGTATCTATTGTCGTAAACTTTTGTCGGTGTATTCTTTTATGGGGGCTGCTCAGAGTTATTGATATTTAGTTTGTTTGGGATTTCAGTTTTTCTCGTGTGTACTGATTGTTCTTTTGTTTTAGGATACGTTCCGCGGACGAGTGTGTGAATGCCCTATTGTGCAAGGCGTAAAGTTTGTTGGCGATGGGTATACTCACTGTGAAGGTACATTATTTGATTGTTCTTTTATTTTATTTTCTTGTTTTGTTTTACTCTAGTCATTATGTTGCTTGTTTTGATCGAACAGCTACAGGAGCATTACGTTGTGGAATCAACAATGGAGGTTGTTGGAAGGAAACCCGAACCGGCAGTACTTACTCCGCTTGTCGTGTAAGTTTGGATTTGAATCTTCTTAAAGAGTCTATCTCCACCCTAAAGTAAAAAACTGATCATGGTTTCTGATTAATGGATGTTCAGGATGACCTTACAAACGGTTGCAGTTGTCCACCAGGATTCAAGGGTGATGGAGAGAAAACATGTGAAGGTATCCACTATGTCCAGATGTCTCTAATTCATGATCTATGCCACATCTATACCGCAAACTGTTCTATGCCACATTTATACACACCGTTTTATCATCAAGAGAACATTACCTACTTCCTGCGCTTATAAATTTGCAAGGCTACCAAATGAGCACATAATCTAGGGTCCTGAGTTTGAAGGCCACCACTGGTATTATATTTAAGTACTTGTGATTTAATAATTCTTCTTTATTTCATTGCAGAGGTGAATGGTTTGGTTTCCTCGAAAACTTATATGTGCTTTATTTCGTATTGTAACAACTAGATGACATTTATGATCCCTATTCTCTTGTATTGGTGCCAAGTCACCCCACCCGGTTTTCTGCTTTTGTTCATGTTCCAGATGTGGATGAGTGCAAGGAGAAAACGGCTTGCCAATGTGCACACTGCAAATGCAAGAATACTTGGGGCAGTTACGACTGCAGTTGCGGTGGTGGTTTACTGTACATGCGAGGATATGATGCATGCATAGGTGAGTATTCTCGATTCTTTTCTGTTTTTGTCATTTGAATGACATGCTGGTATAGTTTTCTTGCTAAACTAGTCGTCCATTCAACTTCACAATGCGTTAGATCGTGAGTCGTGAGTCATAACATTGGAACTTCCTTTTCAGACAGATTAATCTAGATGATGGAACTCCTGCTGTTTGTTTCCCGCCATTAATTTTGACGCATGATCACTACCTTCTGTGCTTTTGCATCATGTTTATATGGTTTTCTGCGTTAACTATTCTGTCGTACTTTTTTTAAGCAGGTAAAAACGCCAGTGGTTCTGGGTCTAGCCGGGGATTAATATGGATAATCATTCTCTGCTTGGGTGCTGTCGGAGTTGGGGGATACATAGTTTACAAGTATCGAATCAGGGTACGTTTTCTTACTCTGAAATTCTTGTTCAAAAACTAATGCATTACTTACGAGTCCGCTTTCTACAATGTGCCAGCCCTAAGAGCTGAAAGTGGTTTGTTGAATTACTCCTGTGCAGAGATACATGGATTCAGAGATCCGGGCAATCATGGCGCAGTACATGCCGTTGGATAATGAAGGAGCAGTTCCCGGCCACGTCTCCCGCGGGGATATCTGAAGCTGGCGGGGACGTATTCGTAAGATATAAGATGCTGTCCGAGAGAAAAGGGAAGACAGACGACGTCCTGAAATCCTATGTCCTCCTCTAGCCTCTAGGCACTAACAATCGGTTCACTGGCGAGAGTGTAATGTTTTAAATGTGTCTAGCATCGGCGTTACTCCACATGTTTCGCATTATATTTTCTAGTAGAAAACAATTGTCCGTCGTTGTTGTCATAAATGTAAAACACACCACAGAAAACTAGTTACAAGTACTATTCCGGCTTCGAGGCAAACTGTGCTCTAATCGTTCATAATCTTACACCAATTTTCCACTGCCAAGCTTTCTTTTCTTCGAAATCTTATCGAAATTTCCGACACCGCCTCTCTATTGCGGTGGTGGAGAGGGAAGTTTAAAGCACCAGATGGGAAGGATGAAGAGGAGCAAGGCTTGTCAAAAGTCTCCGGAAATCAGAGACGAGTTTTGGGCTGGGAGGGTTTGAAATCAGAGTGTGGAATGTGAGCCTTCACTCTTCAAGTTCACCCGCTGGCACTGGGTTCATTAAGTTACTGGGTTCATTAAGTTCCTGCACACCACGTGGCATAAGAAAAAAAGAGATTCAGAACACAAGCTCGGTACACCGCATTGTCATAAAATAAGTGGAGATAAGGCTATCCGAAATGGCTAAACATAGTTTCCTACATAATTTATAGCTCTGCAAAAAAATTATTTTTAAATGAATAGTTTCAAGCTATATTTATAGACCATTTCCAACCGAATAGGCAAAATATAGAGTAAATTGTACAAATGGTCCCTCAACTTTAATCAAATTGGAGCAATGGTCCCTCAACTTATCAAAATGTGTAGCTATAGTCCTTTTCATCAATTTTGTCAAAATTTTGTCAAAATAAGCTATGTTGGAATGACCATTTTTATAATTAGGGTCTCTCAACTCATCAAAGTGTATAATTATGGTTATTTTCGTCAACTATGTCAAAAAATTTGTCAAAACGAGTTATATTGTAAGGACCATTGCTACAATTGGATTAAAGTTAAAGGACTATTTCTCCACTTGAATTAAAGTTCAGGGACCAATGGTAATGGATTTTTAGTTGAGGGACCATAGCTGCACGTTTTGATAAGTTGAGGGACCAAAGGTAATGGATTTTTAGTTGAGGGACCATTGCTCCAATTGAGTTAAAGTTAAGGGACCATAGCTACAATTTACTCCAAAATATAACTCCGCAATAATTTATTAGTTTTAAATTTATACTTGAATTTAGTGGTTAATTTAATTAAATTACGGTTGAATGTTTTCAAATACAGCTATTGAATTTGTATCACTTATTACAACTGAGGAGCTGAGCCTAAAAAAGGGCTAAGAGGGTTACAATTGGTGGAAATGGATCCTCTTTGGATCCCTTCCACCAAATCCTCCTTATCAACTAATCTGGGCTCTTGAAATTGATTCAACGGCTACAAACAAGGGCACACTTTAAAAGTTGTAATAACTTTAACTGTTGGATCAAATTTCAAGGATCCAGATTAATTGATGAGGAGGATTTGGTGAAAGGGATCCGAAAAATATCCCTTTCCACAATTGGCCAGCCTGATACCCTTTTGCCCAAATAATGGCCAGATACCCTTTTGCCCAAATAATGGCCCGCCATGCTCCATAGAATTGTAACTCAATCATCAGTTAAAGATGAGTGTTTTTTGGTAAATCAAGCTATTTTTGTTTGCTTTTGCATATTTACCTTCTCCTTAAGATGGCCTACGATATATTTTTTAGTGCCCTTTTACTTGTATTGTAACACATCATGTATTGACTTGTATTTCGGATACGCGGAAAAATAAAAACTTCTGGAGAAAAAGAACCTTCAGTCCATGATACCGAGGCCTAACTTTGCTTCTTACTGATTAGGGCTACCTGGCCATTCATCGAGGACGAACTCTCACTCTCAGGTCGAATGTACTACTGGGAGAGTATCAGTTACCAAACAAAGACAATTTGGTTCAAACGCAAGCATTATCGAATAATAGTGCGGAATCCAGAGTACATTGTAAGGACGGCTACAGCCATTACGTTAAGCATTACCGAATTTGCTTATCGAAAAGTATGAATGCTGAAAAGAGGAGCAAGAACACCATATATTATTACACAGTAAAACTCTATTGCCCACTAGATGATGAAAATATAGAGTAAAAAAAGAAACGCCTAAGTTCTGTTGCCTCATTCCCAACGGCATCAAACGCACAAATGTTCTCTCATCGCTGCTGCTTTCCCACAAACACCACTAGCCTGGCACGCGTGGAGACGATTACTGGGCTCTGCAGAAACATGAAACCAAATTATACAAACCAGTTTCAATCAAGTGTTCAATCAGACAAAAGGATTGGTTTCCGCTATTTAGTGATATTGCAATTCATCACTGTTTTGGTATGCTTGCATAAAAGAATCATCGGACCACACCTCATGCAAGAAACAATCTGGAAACTCACCTTGCACTCTTCAACTCTACGTCTCCTTCTCAAAGTTGGAACCCTTTTGATGTTTGCGATTCTGTACAATCCTATAGAAGTAGAAAGCTACAACTGCACCACTGTACAGAAAGAAAAAAAAAGCAAACTATAAGATAATAAACTCTTTTGAGATCTGAATTATAAATATTACAAAACTCATATTATCATGAACAAGCAAACTATAAGGTTTTTGATTAGCTACTAAAAAAGATGGTTTTTATCTTCACTTCAAATAAACAAAGTATACTTATACATTTTTATGCTGGAAAATGTGCATTGTTGCTCAGGTATGTGTATTCAAAGATCTTAGGAGGTAGTCGGCAATCTAGACCATCTAGACAAAAACAACGAAAGAACCATGCAAGGTCCAAAGATTGCAAAATACCACATCAAGATCCACTCAGATCAGCCATACAAGTCTCTTCCACTATTTTCCCTCTCTCAGATTGTTATTTGTAACTAGATGCCATCATTTCCTTCCCAAAACTACAAGTTATTTTTTACCTTCCCAGAACAAGGATTTTGAGAGCAAAATAAACTCTTTTAACGATTATATCATTGTCTCCATATCCTTCAAAGACTAAATATAATTTTCTCTGATTCAAGAAACGCAAGAAAGCAAACAGCATCATAAAAATGAGAAGAAACATGAATAATAATAACCTGACAAGGGTTGTTAAAAAATTCGGAAACGATGATCTCTGCAAATAGGAGAAACAAAAACAGAAACAAGAAATATTAGAAATTTGGAAGACATGTCAACTAGACTAGTAAAGAAACTTATTTGTACTATAAGAAAAGAATGAATTTCTAACCTGAGCCAGAAAGCGTAGCTCCCTCAGAAAAATTATACTGGATATAGCTGCAGGTCCGACAGTACATTAAGAATCATTGAAATTATATTAAAGATCAACTAAATCATGTAATTAAAACTAGATTAGATAAGCTCCAATACGTATAATTATAGAAATAAACCATTCTTTACCTGTCTGCCCTTTCAAGACCAAAGGAGATGATTCTCCTCCTTTGTATGATCTTAAACTTGAAACACTTAGAAACAAAAGAGTGGCACCAAGTATAACCCCGAACCTAATTGCAGAAGTGCTTCCCGTTACCATGAAGGACAGGAATCCACCAACAGAAAGCAAAAGACCTACAAGGCATAGGCATATGCGATTAGGCATATAAGTTTACTAAAAGCTTTAGAAAGAAAAGAACAAACAATAGTATTTTTTCCATAACACATACCATAAGGTATCCCAACATGAAAGTCGCGGACTTGTGAAACATCACTGAGATCATCAGCTGATGAATTATATGTTTCAACAATTTCCTTCACTGGCTCAGGGGAATTCTTTGCAGCTTTGGAGATATATTCTTTACCTTCTTCACTGATTTCTTTTGCTATCTCACTCAAGTCATCCCTTGCCTTATCAGCCTGTATTTTTAACAGCTCCGAAGTTTCTTTCATAATAACCAATGCTTTCTTTGAGTATTGCTCATATGCTTCCTGCGAGATGCTTTGCATCTTCAAGGCTTGTTCTTTGAAAGAAGCCAGAGTCTGTTGCCAAGCTTCTTCTGATTCTTCAGATTCCGATTTAGCATTGTTCTTTTCATTCTCCACCTCAATGTCTGAATGCTGCTATGAACAAAAATTCAATTTAATGTCATGACATCTGAACAAGTTGCGTCCCCAATGAACGATTAATCAAACCCGGCTCATCCATATATCTCCTTCCCATAAAATCTAAGTGGGTATTAAGGGGCACCTCAAATAAACCTGAAACCAACATTTTATAACACTTTTGTCCCAAATTTCTTAATATCACGTAAATGGCCATGATGTCGGGATAGCATAACCAAACATCCAGTCAAAAGAACTGGACGAATGTAAACTAAAACCGCAAAACCCGAATTTCTGAAAATATTCATCCCAATCATACTTTTTTCCCAATTCCCAAATGCCAAAAATCAAACTTGATATAGTCCCACACAAGCATCCGTATTCTTCAATCAAACACTTGTAATACATTAACCTCAAACTCCCATTTCCCATAAAATCTAAGTGGGTATTAAGAGGCACACCTCAAATAAGCCCGAAACCAACATTTTATAACGCTTAGTCCCAAATTTCTTAGTATTGCGTAAATAATCATGATGTCGGGATAGCATAATCAAACATCCAGTCAAAAGAACTGGACAAATGTAAACTAAAATCGCAAAACCCGAATTTCTAAAAACATTCATCATAACCATACTTTTTTCCCAATTCCCAAATGCCAAAAATCAATACTTGATATAATCCCACACAAGCCTCCGCATTCTTCAATCAAACACTAGTAATACATGAACCTCAAAATCCCATTTCTCAAAAAACCCAAATCAAAACACCATTACCACTAAGCAAACACTCTTAATTCTATCATCAACAAAAAGAAAACTCAAAATTTCAGCTTACAGATTCCTCCTGAGAAGCAGCGGCGGCGACAATCGGCCGAGTCCACAAGCTCCGCCGATGCAGGGAGAGAGAAGCGCCGGAAAGCCCTTTCGGGAGGGCAATAGGCGAGGCTCCATGACCGCGAGCAGCAATCAATTGTCCGAACCGCAGAGAAGAAGACGAAGAAGGTGACTTCTTCAATCCACAGCTGCTAGGGTTAGGGTTTAAGAGCGAGAAGGACTGCAATGTCACACTCATTGTGATTGAATCCTAGAGAGAGAGAGAAAGAGGAGAGAGAGAAAGAGAGGGTTTGAAACTGAGGCGAAGCTGACGAGGAGAGGTAGGTAAAATGCGCCGAGGGGTGCAATTTTTATACTCCAAGCTGGAAATTTTGGTAAAATTCGAAGAATCGTTGCGAATTAGGAGAGTTTACGGACTTTAGGGGGCTCCTGGGCTAAAATGCGCCAGGGGTGAGGTACACGTCACTTACTGCGTGTTTGGTTGCCAGGAAAATAGGGAGAAAAGAATCTGGTTAATGCCTTGGTGACACGTAATTAGCGGGTGGTTGGTTGTCCCGCGCGCTCCCACTCAATCTTCTGTTCAAGTGCCGACGTGGTAGTGCTTGTGATTTGGTAGACGACACTAATATAGGTGTCGTACGAACCCAAGATAATGATTTGCCCCCTATGTGAATATTAATGGTGATTTTACTGCATTGGCCTTGGTAAAACGGGTCGACTTGCTATAATAAGTTTTCATCATTTTTACCGTAATACCGGAGAAGTTTATGCGGTGACATTATAATTTAGTTATTCATTATCATGTATTTAACTTTCTCATATGTCATTGCGTAATTGATTTGAGATGCTGTTATTGTGACATCTTTTTTTACACACGACTGGTTCTACTAAAAAAATAATTTCAACCTTCTTAATCACTTGAATGGATCGATGAAAATGTTAGACCATGATGCAGAGGTGTAGCAAGTGTATGTTTGAATTCTTGGGAAATTCTTTAATTTCTTGCATAACATGAACAAAGCATTGGGAAAGACATATGAGCAAAGAAAGGAATAGATGCAAGCTAGAGGAGAACCATATTTGCAATACTTGGAATCAAAAGGCAAGCAAGGCACCTCCAGCCAGCAGGCTCTCTCTCTTACAACTAACCAAAAGCAGAAAGCTTAAACCATATGGGAAACCACATGCATTTATTAGTGCATAAATCATGTTGCTTGTTGCTTGTCAGTCTCTTCTGTGAGACCATGGGATCGAAGATTTTCGCTTGAAGGCTTGCCGAGCATCGTGATAAGAGCAACTTCACTTCTAAAAAATGAGTTGGTCCAAAATTCATTTAATTCACCTAAATAAATAGTAATTGACTGCAATGAATAGTAATTGATGCATCTCCACCCTTAAAACTAAATAGCCTAGTCAATTTTACTAAAATATTATTAATTTTTATTATAAAATAATAATAATTTTATTTTTAATTTCTAACATTTTATTTATTTATTTTTAAAGTTTTTCGGCCAAAAAATATGGAATGTTGATCAGAAAATCGAACGGTCCAGATTGTGCCACGTCACTAGCCGTTAGGTTTGAATTTCAAATTTTTTTACCCTTGGAAATCCAACGACCGAGGCTTAGCCACGTGGCCCATGTCCCGCGCCCCTTTAGTGCGCTTGCAGCGCGGGCCAGCGTCTGTCACCTTGTCGAGGATGCACGCCCACACGCTTGATGCAAAAAAAATTTGTGTTGCCTAACATCATGCTAGCGTCAGCATGACGCCATATAGGTTAGTTCCTACCTCAACCCATTTTGGGCTAGCCTATTTTTAGGGGTGGAGGGGTTTTTTTGGACGCCAACCTATTTTTTTAGGCTTTGGGCCAGCCTAAAAAATAGGGCTGGAGTTGCTCTAAAGAAGTCAAGGCATTACACGAGGACTTGTCAATTAGTAACATCGTAACAAGGGTTTGCAATTAAAGGGAACAATGTAACACAACGGCAAAGCCACCTTTAAGCTAGGGTGGACTCTAGCCCAGTTAAAAATCTAGGTAAATTGAAATTTTATGTCGACTTCTTATAAAGTTCAACGTTTTAGTAATAACTAGCACACCTCACTCTCGTTCAACTAAAAATTGGTCAACCCCGCCTTAACAAATCTTAAGACCAAATCAGTCACTCCTTCACGCGTAGTAAATGAAAAAATAAAGAAAATAACTTATAACGTACTCGAGAAAATTTCAAGTTTTGATCTTACCGTGACAAATCAAACTTGTCAATCAAGTACACTGTGAGACTTGCTAAAGCCCAACTTTAACTAATGGCCTAATTAGTTTTAGGCCTTAAATTTTATGACATGACTTGGAGATAGCACAATAGAAGAGACCATTTAGGCCTCAATCTCCTAACTAAGACCATTTCCAACCGAATGATCCAAAGGGTCAAAGGGCTCGTGGGCCCCACGGGACAAAAACAGACCAGAGGGCCAACCGGCTGGTCATCTTCAGCCCGCTGGCTAGCCCATTTTGTTTTTTTTTTCTTTTCCACTTGCCTAGCCAAGTTTCTTTTTTTTGTTCTTTCAGCCCATTTTAGGGTTTTCAGGTCACTTTAGGTTTAGGGTTTATGAACTTTTTTGGTCCCAGCCCATTTTTTTATTTTTTTTAACAGCTCACTATTTTATTTTATTTTTTTGGATTTTTTTTAATTTCTAATTTTTTTCCTACACCATTTCTCACATATTTTTTATCATTCCATACTGTTTACTTTATTTTATTTCAATTCTTCACATTTCATACTCTAACCCTTTGGCCCTCGGTTGTATATGGTTTTTTGTGACAGGGCTAAAACGAGTCATCTAACATTTGGTTAGAGATGGAGGTAAATATGATCATGTACTATTTATTAAAATATTAATATCTTAGAGGATCAATTCTCTAATCAACTTTTGGTTGGAGATAGCCTAATAAGTCTTTATGCTTTCTAGAAATCCTCCATGGTTTCCATTTTTTAAAGCAAAGAAGTTTGACAAAGCTATTTGATGAATTATTATAAAATTGAACCATCCCTGACATTTCTGAATCCTCCCAAGAAGCACTTTTAAGACAGCTTTTATTTTAATCACACAAATTACATCGGTAGTAGATAGAGGAACACAAGATACAAAATATATAGGTATATAGGTGTGAAAACTTGAAACTAGTTTGTCAGGAATTTGAACAAAGGTGGCATTTGAAGTTCCAACAGGATGCTCTCCGGATACTTTTGGTGAGGATATTTAGAATTCATAAATAGTGTCCGTTCATCGTATATCATGTGGTCAGGTTTTATCAGGTACTAATGTTGTGTTTAATTTTAAATAAAAATATTTAAAATAATTTATGATCGCACGATGTACGATAAACGAACACGATTCATGGATTCCCGAAATCCTCATAAAGACGATCCAGATTCTGTTAAGTCCATCAGTTGATGCAAGTGAGTGACAAGTGTGAGGGACAAAGCCAAAGCTTGGTGTTTAAGGAAAGGGATGGATCTCTTCTATCAAATCATTCAATCCGGACTTTTAAAATTTGATCTAACGGTTAAAAACTGGAGTTCCTTTAAAAATTATAATAACTTTAGCCGTTTGATCAAATTTCAAATACCCTAATTGAGTAATTGGGTGGATTTGATAGAAGTAATCCATAGAGGATCCCTTTCCACAGTAGTTGGTCGACTAAACGTATGATTAGGACTATATCCGCACGGAATTTTGACTATACTTTATGGTGTAGGACAAAAGGAAAAAAAGGAAGAATGTAAAGATGGAAAAACATGGGCTTGAGTGACATATTACTGCAAGAAAAGACATCAAGCTAGTTAAGGGTAAGTGTGCTTCAAGCAAAAATTATTTAGGCTCGATACAAGTTTTGAATTTTGTTTTTTCGAATTTGAAGTAAGAAGATTTTAGGATATTATTTTCTTCGTACGATGAATTTCTTGTCCTTTAAGTTTGATGAATACTTTAGAATATAGGGAGTGTCTTAGGTCGATTAGGTTTTAGTTTTCTACTTAAGAGAACCTCATAAATTACTTTAACGTAATACCAACACAATTTGAAAATCTTCTCTTATCAAGGATTTCAAAAGCAATATTGAGAGAGATTCATAATTCTCACTATTTCTTTACATTCAGGGACTAATATGCGTTTGTGTATGTCCTATAGATCTAAACGTTGTTGATTGAAAATTGGCAACAATATTTGTTTATATAATGTGAAACACTATGGCACCGCTTTAGGCATCTCTCACAAAACATATGATCTCATATATTTGATTTTATATAATCTTACATGGTCTAACCTAATACAAGAGTTGTTCTAGTTAAAAACAAAAACTTGTGTAGGGTCCAAAAAATATGACTATTTCTACAAGTATTTTCATACACACGACATTATCTACACTAAGAGGGTGAGAAAATGGGCTTAACCTCACAATAGGCTAATAATAACGTGGTTCAAATTCGTCTTTGGCGAGAATTGAACTTAAAACCTCTCACTTACAAGTGAAGAGGAATACTACTAAACCGTAGTACTAAGTGGTGACCGTTTCTATATGTTTGGGAGTTATATTTGCATAGAGTCACGTACTATAGTATAGTAGAACTCGGAAAATATTTGAACACCCAGGTTAGGAAAATGCTAGGGGGAGAAACTTTTTTTTGAGACTATTTTGTGTAAACTAAATGACGTGACGGTTGATAATTGAACTATTTATTTAATAATTTAAAAAGTGAGTCCAATCATCAACCGTCAAATTATTTAGTTCACAAACAATGTTTAATTATATGATCTCGGGAGAATTACCCCAACTCATTAGAATGCTGTACTCTAATTTCTCAATTAATTAAGCAAAACTAGCGAATGTCTTCTTGCAGTTGCCACGCTGGTTTAAAAAACAGAGAGTCAAAAGCCAAGTGGATCACACCTCGGATTCTAGTTTGACCAAATGCTTAACTCCAAAATGGGAAAAAACTTTTTATGTCACCGCCACACAAAATAATACATCATGTGTTATTATACAAATAAAATTTATGCATTAAAAAGTTAATAATCTCTTATCATTTACATAAAAATAGATGGTATACCGTCCGTGTTGCCGTACAAGCCTTAAATGCCATCGCCGGTACAAGCCTTAAATGCCATCGCCGGTACAAGCTTTAAATGCTTGCCCCTTCCACTCTCGCCAGAACCAGCAGAGCCAGCCACTCTACTCCCCCACCACCATTATTTTCCCTCCACTCTTCTTCTTCTTCCTCCACACCAACCCCCACACTCCCTGACAAGTGACACCCTTTCTTTAATCCCCTCCTTCCCTGAACTTCGGATTCAACTCCTCTCCCGCCCCGTACCCCGCCACCCTCCGCCTCCACCTACCTCGTCCCCAAAACCCTCCGCCCCGTACCCCGTACCCTTAAACCTAAGCCTCCACCTTTAATCATTTTTCTATTTTTTTTTTCACTGGTTTTCTCAAAAAACCCAACAAAAGAAAGAGGAAAAAAGCAAGAGAAAAAGTGGAGGAGTGTTGTGATTGATGTTGGTGGGTTGATCACTTTACCTTTTGCCCTATTTCTTTGCCCTATTTCTTTGCCCATTATTACACATGGCTTTGTTGCATTTCTCTGTTCAATTCAAACACTTCCACCAAAAGTCCTCCTCCTCTGTTTTTCTTCACAACTTTGAAGCGTTTTTCTTCACTACTGTGAAGCTCTCGGACTTCTGAAATTTTCATGGGATTTTATCAGACTTGAAAACAATGGCGTTCGAGCTCTGTTTTCTCCTTCTTCTTGCTCCTCTTCTGGTACTCGCCTTAGACCCCGCCTTTAATGACGACGTTTTGGGGCTGATCGTCTTCAAGGCCGGGCTTTCTGACCCGGAAGCGAAGCTTGCTTCGTGGAGCGAGGACGACGGCAGTCCCTGCAACTGGGCAGGCGTCAAATGCGACCCGACAACCGGCAGAGTCGCCGAGGTTGTTCTCGACGGCTTTTCGCTGTCCGGGCACATCGGCCGCGGCCTTCTGCGGCTGCAGAACCTTAAAAAACTCTCGCTTTCCGACAACAACTTCACTGGGTTCATAAACCCTGATCTCCCACACCTCGGCAGCTTGCAGGTTATCGATTTGAGCCGGAACAGCCTATCTGGGTCGATCCCGGAGGAGTTCTTCAAGCAATGTGGATCCCTTGGGGTGGTTTCTTTCGCCGGAAACAACCTCACGGGGCGGATTCCGGAGTCCCTGAGCTTGTGCCAGACCTTGGTGGAGGTGAACTTTTCATCGAATTGGCTGTCTGGGAAATTGCCTCCTGGGATTTGGTACTTGAGAATGCTTCAATCAATCGACTTGTCGGATAACTTGCTGGAGGGGGAAGTTCCTAAAGGTATGGAGAATTTGTATGATTTGAGAGTGATCAACTTGGGGAAAACCGGTTTTCAGGACAGCTTCCAGGGAACATTGGAAGCTGTTTGAAGCTGAAGTTGCTTGATTTTAGTGGTAATTTGTTTTCTGGGAGAATCCCGGATTCAATTCGGAGTCTCGATTCATGTACATCTCTGAGTTTACAGGGGAATTTTCTTGCGGGGCAAGTTCCGAATTGGCTTGGTGATTTGAAAAACCTTGTGATGTTAGATGTGTCTGGAAATAATTTATCTGGTGAAATTCCAAGTTCGTTAGGAAATCTAGAGGTGCTCGAAAAGTTGAATTTGTCTAGGAATGGATTTACTGGAAGCTTGCCTGATGCATTGGCAAACTGCATCAATCTGTTAGCTATAGATGTTAGCCATAATCTGTTGGCAGGTAAGCTTCCTTTGTGGATTTTTAAGCTCGGTCTGCGCAGTGTTTTGCTTTCTGGCAACCGATTAGGTGGAAGTGACGAGTACAGTTCACTGGCGTCAATGGCAGCGTCGAATGGAGGCCTGCAGGTCTTGGATTTGTCTTCGAACGCATTTTCTGATGTGCTTCCATCGGACATTGGTGTTCTTAGTAGCTTGCAGTTCTTGAATATGTCCGGGAACCATCTGTTGGGTTGGATTCCGGCAAGTATAGGTGAGTTAAGGGCGGCTTATGTTCTCGACTTGAGTGACAATTGGCTAAATGGAAGCATTCCTGATGAAATCGGAGGGGCAGTCTCTCTCAAGGAACTAAGGCTGCAGAAGAACTTTCTAACCGGGAAAGTTCCAGCCGAAATTGTGAAGTGCTCATCTCTGACAAATCTGTAAGCTCTCTTGTTCTGCTTATCTCTGCTTCTTTAGTTATGTTTCCGCACACATGATTTATAACGAACAGAAAGCAACACCTACTTAATTACATCAGAAAGTGCTTAACCTGAAGCTGTTTTCAGAATGCTTTTCGTTTAGCGTAAAATGCATTTCGTTTTTCCAATGTTTTTTTTTTTTTTTTCAGTTTTCTTTGGCAGCATATATATATATATATATATATATATATATAGTAGCATTGCTGTTTTATCTTACTCTACTTACGAGTACAGATGGAGCTTAAATTGGTCTGAATTATTTTTTCTTTTGCGTCTTCGAATTATACAGGATTTTATCTCAGAACAATCTGACTGGCCCTATTCCTACTGCCATTGCTAACCTTACCAATCTTGAATATGTGGACTTGTCTTTGAACAAATTCTCAGGAGGCATACCGAAAGAGCTGACAAATCTTTCCCATCTCCTCTACTTCAATGTCTCCCACAACCACCTAGAGGGTGAACTACCACTAGGGGGATTCTTCAACACTATCCCACCTTCATCTGTCTTGGGCAATCCATCTCTTTGTGGATCTGCTGTTAGCCGTGCCTGCCCTTCCGTCCACCCCAAACCCATTGTCCTCAACCCTAATTCTTCCAATCCCGTCGGTGGTTCTTCCTCTCCAACTCATGGTCACAAGATCGTATTCAGCATATCAGCCCTCATTGCTATAGGCGCAGCTGTATTTATTGCCATTGGTGTCATAGCTGTAACCATCCTCAACATGCATGCACAGTCTTCATTATCACGTTCTGCTGCTCCTCTTGAGTTATCAGGTGGGGAAGATTATAGTTGTTCCCCGACTAATGATCCAAACTACGGCAAGCTTGTCATGTTTTCTGGTGATGCTGACTTTGCTGCTGGGAGACAAGCCTTGCTCAACAAGGACTGTGAACTTGGTCGTGGTGGGTTTGGAGTAGTTTACAAAACAGCCCTTTGTGATGGGCGTTCTGTTGCGATAAAAATGCTATCAGTCTCAGGTTTGATCAAGTCCCAAGAAGATTTCGAGAGGGAAGTTAAGGGACTTGGAAAGATCAGGCACCGTAATCTTGTGGCACTTGAAGGGTATTACTGGACTCCGTCCTTGCAGCTCATCATTTATGAGTACATACCATGCGGGAGTCTATTTAAGAATCTGCATGACGGACCTGGCAAAACCTGTCTCACTTGGCGGCAGAGGTTCCACATAATTCTCGGGATGGCAAAGGGCTTGGCTCATCTGCACCAAATGAACATAATCCACTACAATTTGAAATCAACTAATGTTTTGATAGACAACAATGGTGAGCCTAAGGTGGGAGACATTGGCCTGGCAAGGCTGTTGCCAACACTAGACCGGTGCATCTTAAGCAGCAAAATCCAAAGCGCGCTTGGATACATGGCGCCCGAGTTTGCATGTCAAACGGTTAAGATTACTGAGAAATGTGATGTCTATGGCTTCGGGATCTTGGTTTTGGAGGTGGTTACTGGAAAGAGGCCTGTCGAATATGTGGAGGATGATGTGATAGTACTCTCTGATATGGTGAGGGGAGCGCTGGGGGAAGGCCGGGTGGAGGAATGTCTGGACAAAAACCTCCTTGGCAACTTTCCAGCAGAGGAGGCAATTCCGGTGATCAAGCTGGGTTTGATATGCGCGTCTCAAGTGCCATCAAATCGCCCAGACATGGGTGAAGTGATCAACATTTTAGAACTCATCCAATGCCCTTCAGAAGGCCAGGAGGAATTAGAATAATTTTAGTTTACAGATTGAGAAAGTGAACAGATAATCGCCATGTTCCGGTGAAGATCAATCCAGTTTTGTTTCAAGCAAAAGCAAAAAGAATATAGTGTTGGAGTTCCATCTCCATGTCTTCCATTTGTGTCTGTAATTTTTTCCCCTATTTAATTGTATAGCACTTATATGGTGCCAGATTGCTTCTCACCGGTTTGAAATGGAACAACTTGATTAGGGTTTGGGTTAAAGATCTCTCATTATAAACAACAATTAAGTGTATCTGTCTCTGGACTTGCGTACATTTCTAACACGCCACAAATAGCGTGTTACATACATTTTTTATACGTCATAAATAGTGTATTACATACACTTTCTGTATGCCACAAATAACGTGTTACATACAAATAGCACGATGCCATGTAGGTAACCAAAAGACAAAGTAGAATAATGCTTAAAAATTTCCCAATAAAACACTACTTATGGGCATAAGGATTAAGATTAAAAGCAACATTATCATGTGCATCTTTAGGGGAAACATGTTGCTTTATTTCTACTCTTTTTATTGTTGGCCATGTTGCTTTATTTATACTAAAACTAAGCTTTAATTACATTATCTTTTTGCTTAAGTTAAAGAATTTGTCGCATCTTTAGGTGAAAGCGAAACGTCGTAAAAAAAAAAAACTTTATCATTCAAAATCAATAGATTTTTTAGCCAAAATAGTCATCGAGATTGGCATAACTCATCACTTTAGTCTTTAAGATTTAAAATCTATTGAAATGGTCTCTAAGTTTGTCTACCGTCAATTATTTTAGTTATTTTGTGAAAATCTTCATTAAATGAAAGCCAAGCTAACAAAAATACTCTTTTGTTAAATTATTTTGGCCCAGTGTTTATTAAATTGAGATTTTTGTCATTTTAGTCCTTATTAACAAAGATTTCACGAAAAGACCAAAATGATTAATGGTATAAAAATTTAGGGTCGATTTCAGATTGTAGAGACCAAAGTGAGGAGTTATGCTGGTCTCATAAACTATTTTAGCTAAAATGCCAAATTAATGTCATCATGTGCATATTTATGCGTACTCCACTGACCCTAATCAAGATTAGTGTGTTCTTTAATCTTTCTCAGACTTTGAAAAGCTTTGTGTCTTCCTGCAAATTTGGTGAATAATAATTAGAGTAACACTTAGATGTGAAGCTTTTGTTTAATCAAATGGTGTTGGACCCAAGAGGGGAACCTAACCAAACAGCCTTTGGACATCATCAAAGCAACCTCACATGGGTTTCTCTCTCTCTCTCTCTCTCTCTCTCTCTCTCTCTCTCTCTCTCTCTCTCATCCTCAAACCCACTTAGAAGCGCTTTTCCAAAAGTGATTATTTGTATTTTGTAGCGCATGGCAAATTGGCAATCATGCCATGCCCTCTAAATTACAATAAGAGCTTTTTGATGTGTAGTCACGCAACCACCAAAACTAAAAAAAACCACATTTGTAGTAGAAAAGAAATTTAAGTGCAACTGGTTGTATATTTTTTTGTTTATTGGTGGGCAAAATTTTGAGTACAACCGATTATATATCTTTCTTTTTTTCTCTTTCATCATGTGAGAGAAGAATCATACCATGATCACATAGCACAACGGGTGGCCTCCTCGGATGCCACATGTCAGAAAGACCCATGGTATCAGTCAATTTGCTGACTCTAGCTTATAAACACTAGAGTTTTTTGTCATCAAATTCTTGATTGAAGATCCAATGATTAAAATTTAATGACAAAAAACTCATATAAAATACACAAACATAATAGAATATTGGTAAATTGATTAAGGCCAAGACTAAGAAAAAGAAACCCCACCTTGGAGATGGATGCATTTTTGGAGGAGAAAGTTGTCGCATTTGCTTCTTTACTTTTGTCTGGTGTTTTAATGAACGAGGAACCAAACGAAATGAGTGATAGAACCCACCACGCTTCCGCTAACGACCTAAATACATGAGTGAATCAAAAACTAATGGTCAAGTGATAAATGATGGATTATAAGGCTTCCTTAAAACTAAAAGCTAGAGGTCTCAGGTTTGAAACCCACTGTTGGTGTGGAAGCCAGACTTGTGGCCAAGGGAGGCTGAAATGCCTCTGTAAGTATTTCCGGGCCCTGGAATGAGTGAATAACCGTAGCTTGTCACCAGTTACCTCCCTTTTGAAAAAACTAAATAAATAAAAAAAATGCGTGAGTGAGAGTGTGAGACTATGTTCCAAGTTCGACACTCCTGTCGGGGCAAACAGGGCACAATACTAAGCCACTATGCAAAATCATCATACCTAAGGGTAGTGTATTTTGTTCATGTCCCAACTCCAAGTAGTTTAATCCCTGTTAGGTTTTTTTTAGGGAAATTTTGAAAAATCAACACTTTACGACTCATGATCTTCTTTTTTAAAGATATAGAAATATAGTCACTCGTTGCCATCACCAACAGCTCTCGAGCCATCTCGAGACCCCTTGAGCACTACTCAATCTCAAATCCCCCTCCAGTATCGAGCCCTTGAGTGACTTAATTATAATTGTTTTACTTTCAAACTTTCCCGTTCAAATAGCGAGTGCTTTCTAGATATCACTTTTCACTTTATGCACACCTTCTTTTATACGTATGAGGTTAAAAATAATGTGTAAAAGTCACTTTCATTTCCGAAAGAAACTTACCTACATTCGAAATGCGTTGTGGCAGTGCACCTGTGCATGGATGACAAGCTGCAGTGAAAGGAAAGTATGTAACGTACAAGTAGAAAAATACAAAATTCTTCGGTGTTCCAGAGTATCGGATACTCCGGGTAAGTTTGGAGATCAGATAGGGACGTGAGTGATGTGATATCAACTTCATGGGGACCTGCTAACAATAAAGGGAAAGTACATAGTACCACATCTAAAATCTGTATTCTCTTCTTTGGTATATTTTCAATTATTGCGATTGAGTGACAGCCGCAAAACCAATTTGCCTTTTGTTTCTCCAGTTGGGTCCCCCCAGCTATCTACTTGGACACGGAAACCAAATGCAAAGACAAAGGCATTTGATAAGAGTTGGGATTTTGGAACTACCTACCTACCTACCTGCTCTTTTGATGCGTCAATACTACGCTGCTCAGCAGTTCCTGTTTTTTGTTGTGTCAATATCACGCTGCTTAGCATGTTTCACGTTTTTAGTCGTTTTTGCGGCTATAATTCTCCATATCCACTTGGGAAATGGTGACTTCTCAATAAAAAATCATTTTATCGGGCTCTTTTGTTTATTTCAGCGGATGATCTGAATTTGCTACTTCGCGTGGTTATGGAGAGCGTGGAGTTGGACCACAAAGCGCTTTCCATACAACTTGTTTTTACTTCTCTGTTACTGTTTATATTTTTGCTTCTAGCAATGGGTTCCTGGAGCTTTGTAGGTTTCGTGGCTTAGCTTGCAAGAAATTGCCCGAGCTGTAGTTGGGGAAACCCGGGAAGAATATCGGCCACTGTTAGTGTCTAAATTAGATAACTCGCTATATTAAAAGTATGAAGAAAACCAACTACTAAATTATGTCGACATGAAAGAAATTACCCAAACAATCAACCTCTGCATGTTTTTCTACCCAAACTTATTTCTTGAACTGGTATAGCTGTATTTGCTTATAGAACGAGTCACGTAAACATTTCAAGGTTGCAGTTACAGTAAAAATGAATCACTTATACAGACCTAATTTCTGGGAACTCACTATTACACGAAAACCGCTTGTTTCAACGACGCAGTTTGTCAATAAACGTTTTACATTCTGTATCTCGATCCTAATTTGTTCTGTGCTCATCGGTCTTACCTTCTTCTTCCATTTTCTTCTTTCTTTTGGGCAAACTCTACTCTGGACACCCTTTTGGCTGTTCTAAACTAACTAATCATTCCACCCATCTTTGTTTGCAGCCCTCGATGTAAGGCCATTCACAGAGATGCTTCCCAGACGATCCCCAGGTGTTTTCACCGCATTTTCTCCATCCCAGTCATCATCCCAACCTTCATCCCAACCTTCAGCCGTTTCCACGGCGGTTGCTGGAACAGATTCCGGCAATCCCATTTCAAGTTCCTGATATGGAACTCCACCTCCAGTACGCTCTTTCCCCTTCCTGATCAAGCAGCAAGCCCACGTTCCTCCAAAAGTTAGCACTGCAACAATCAAGAAGTAGGCACCATTGATTGGGGTCGCTATGGTCTTGAGAGAAGGAAACGCCGGAGGGGGAGGATCTATATGAAGCTTACATTCTCCGGTTCCAGTATTTAATGTTATATTGGTGCTTTTACCCGGATCAATTGATATATTGACCTGCAAAAACAAATTAACAAACGGCACAACTTTGTTTTCAGAATAAAAAAAAATAGGCGAATGTAAGCTTCCAACGTAACAGTGACAGAAAAACACAAAGTATAATTTCCATGGTTCATGCATGACACCAAATCATGAACCAGTCAAAAGCAGGTAAGACATTGTAGTAAGGTCATGCATCCAGGAAAGTCTTTTGCATGGTATTATCAATTCAGCTGGTCATCTAAACACAAACAGGGTTCTTTCAATATTAAGTTTCTAAGGAGAACACTGATAATGCAGAATGTATGTCCATCTCATAAACTTTTCCACCTCCCTTCGACATACAGCCATAATTTATACTGTATTCCCGATTCAGCTGGTCTTCAGCCTATGTTTTTGTTTTCGTCTCTCCCTTCCACGCTCCTTTCCTCTTTAAATTTCTTTCATCGAGAAGAAAAACACGTTACCAAATGGGCTCTTATTGATCATGTTTCATTCCCCTTTTTACACATTCAGGCCAATCCAAAAATATATGCTGATCCCACAGAATTACAAAAGACTGCCATTCTTGTGTTTGGAAACCCCACACAAAGAAGAAAAGGTGCAAGACAGGTAATCCAAATGTGACAACTATGTCATCACATGGCGAATTTCAGATTTTTGCTTTTTTTTAGAAAAGAGAAAGAAAAGCTATATAATCACAACAGAAAAAAAACACTCAACCAGGCAAAACAATAACAAAGTAGCAGAATTAAGACGAGGAATTCTCTTATGTGCATTGACCTTTCACTGTTGGATACAACAGCATTTGTCATCCAATATTGAAGCTTCGATGATTATCCTAAGAACACTGTGGCATAATCCTATGATCTTTACCTTTCTATTTAGGTGTTTCAGAATCTCTAGGACCTTGCTGGCACCATTTGCAGAAAGGGTTGCGTTCAAAGTGCTGTTTCCTACGTTTTGAACCAGAATGGCCACTTCTTTGGACCCTGCAACATGGGAAGATAAAATAAATTTATTGTTTTTCATCTCACTAATAATTATGAGTTCAGATGGTATTGATTGATCTCCACCATCTGATCCACAGCTTTAATAAATAACATACAAAACAGAGTGATGAAGAGTAGATGCAATTTCACATGGCATAAATGAAATTTAACATCTCACTTTACCATGAAAACTTCAAAGAATACCTCTCCATCAGAGAATAGCTTTGTAAAATGTACATAGCTTATGATACATCTTAGACACTAAAATCGGGTCTAATTCTGCTCTTTATATTCATTAAACTCCGTTAGCCATAATTTTTTCCTTTTAAGTCCAAAAGATTTCAATAAACTGCCCAAATCAAGGCCGACCAAGCAAAAACCAAAAAAAAAAGCAACAATGTAAGCCAGAATTTTGGAAAAAGCATTAAATATTTAGAAATGTCAAAGAAACAGTCTGCAAGATTGTGGTAGATGTGACTACTACATCAAACCAAGTCTGATATGCAACTGACACAGGGGGGCGCCTTTAAGCTTTTTAATATCCAACAGAATCCCCAGATAATTTCAAACTAATCTTACAGAAGTAGTGACCTAGAGCCCAGCGGCATTGATCGATAAATCAAAACTGAAATGTGTTAACATTTACAGATTGATGGTTCAGATATCATGTTTATAAACTTCTTAATTAAGAAGAAATGCCTTACTACCAAGCCTATTGTCATAGAGCAAGCCAAGTTTCTATATAATCGTGATAAAGAACATGTACTGAACGGCAATGCCTTTCCACACAAAAAAATGTGTTACATATAGTACTCACAAGAAATGACTTTCGACCATTTGCAGCTGCATAAATAAGAAGCTTTGATTTTCACACAGTAGACACTACAAACCAACCAATAACTAGTTCTACGTTCTAGCAATAGCACAAATGTACTCGACAAGTATTCCTATGTAGTATACTCAAGCAAGCAAAACGATGTCACCAAAATGTTTTCATCTTTGAATTCCATCTCAACATCCTAATTTGTAAAACCATTATAGATAATAATATCCCTTAAACTATACTGCACATTTTCTTGTAAATCAAATAGTGTAGAATGTCAGCGAAATAGTATCAACAGTTATGCACATTACCACTACTGAAGTTCTTAATGCAAGCAACTGCCACATCCTTGACCGCACATGTTTTGATTTTGGTTACCCCAGCGCAGCTCTCCTGCTTCTCCTTCTCCTTCTCCCTTGGATTATCCTTCTCCTTCTCCTTCTCCTTCGGATTATCCTTCTCCTTCTCCTTTGGATTATCCTTCTCCTTCTCCTTCTCCTTCTCCTTTGGATTATCCTTCTCCTTCTCCTTAGGATTATCTTTCAACACCTTGTCAGTGTCCTCCTTTGGATTATATTTGACCTTGTCGGTATCCGGCTTCGGATCATCATTCGATGTCTTGGCAGGCTCTGGATGCTTCTTTTCTGTTTCCACATCCTTCCCTTCACCCTTTTTAGTATCATTATTCAAACCCACCTTGGGGCCCTGATCCACTTTCGGTTTCGGAGTCTTCGCGGGTTGCGAAGACTCCACTTTCTCCTTACTCGGGTCATCAACCGGCTTAGTATCCGACCCATTTCCACCAGAACTTGACACCGTAGGAGGCAGCAGCGGACTAGGCACCGGAGAACCCTCCTTGCCCTAAAGTTTTCGAAAACAAGTAAATTTTCGAAGTTTGAACTAAAAAATAAATAAAAAATTCAGAATCTAGAGAGGGAAAGAGAGTTACTGGTACTGTCGTATTGTCGTTTTGAGGCTCACCAATCAAAATTCTGTGCTTGGAGAGCGCAGCAGCAGCATCGGAAACATCGGCGACGACGAAGACGATGAAAAACACCGCCAGAAAAACGATTCTATCCATTGAATTCGGAATTCTGTGCTCGTTTTCTGATCGGATTCACGTCCTCCGCGCCAAAACCATAGAAATTAATCCGAACCCCGATCCGGACAATCGCATTTTGGGGATAAAGTTGCAGGATTTATGAATTTGTGTTAGGATTTCACTTTGGGGTTTAGAGATTTGGATTGAAATTTAGGGTTTTAGATTGGGGAAACTGTGATTTGCAGAGACTTAACGCTAGGTGCGGCGCAGAAGTCAGCCTCTTCGCAGACGAAAAGAGCTCCAATTGGACCATTTTTTTGACACGTGGCAAACTGCCAAGTGTGCCACCTTTGATACGATGTTGACGTGGTAAAAGGGATCCTCATAATTCTTTGCGGGCAGTATGAGAGCTTTCGGATTCCCGCAAATTTTCTGCGCACGGCTCCAGGAACGCGTTACTAACATACAACGTTGTAATAAACGGGAACCACGCGGTTTGGTTACATCAAAGCTCCAGAGAGGGTTGAGACAGGGAGATCCATTTTTACCCTTTTTGTTTGTCTTAGGCCAAGACCTAAATGTAGTTCTTTTCAGAATTAGAGCAATTCCAGCGTGGGAGCCATCCCCCAGGCTATTCACTATTCAATCCACCCATTGAACAATAATTGCTCTTAATGAACAGTAACCAGTGGCGAAGCCAGGAATAGTCGGAAGGATGGGTGGAATTTAAAACCGTAAAAGGTCCTAAAAAATTGTAGACAATCAAATCCTTTTAGATAGTAGACAATATTAATGTCGTTCATAATTAAGGTTAAGGGTTCTAAAAGACGCTAGGTCTAGGCGAGCGGCGAACTGAAGCCTAGCGCCTAGACAGATTTGAGTAAATTTATTTATATATCATCTAACGCCTAGGCGCAAACCTAGACGTATTTGAGTAAATTTATTATGTATATATCATATACATAAGTGTCTTACACCTTAAAAAATTATACTTGTATTGAAGCTTCTATTTTATATTTAATTAAGCTTATTATTTAACATATAACATTCAAAATTATCAAAATTTTTATTTTAATAATTTAGTGAATATGATAGTATGAGAAAAGTACACTTCTTACAATGAGTTACTATTTTTTATAAAACTCTAAACTCTAGATTAATAAAAGGAGAAATTAGTTCTCATCCTTCTTTTTTGCTATTTCATTGATTAAAACTCCAAACTCTAGATTATTTCAATAATAATTTTTTTTATTTCTTGTCACATCCCGGCCTGGGGCGGACCATTTTCCGGGCCCGCTCCACCACCATAGCACGATATTGTCCGCTTTGGGCCCCGACCACGCCCTCACGGTTTCGTTTCTGGGAACTCACGAGCAACTTCCCAGTGGGTCACCCATCATGGGATTGCTCTCGCGCGCTACTCGCTTAACTTCGGAGTTCCGATGGAACCCGAAGCCAGTGAGCTCCCAAAAGGCCTCGTGCTAGGTAGGGATGTGAATATACATTTAAGGATCACTCCCCTGGACGACGTGGGATGTTACAATCCACCCCCCTTAGGGGCCCGACGTCCTCGTCGGCACACCACGGCCAGGGTTAGGCTCTGATACCAATTTTCACATCCCCGCCCGGGACGGACCACTTCCCGAGCCCACTCCACCACCGTAGCACGATATTGTCCGCTTTGGGCCCCGACCACGCCCTCACGGTTTTGTTTCTGGGAACTCACGAGCAACTTCTCAGTGGGTCACCCATCATGGGATTGCTCTCGCACTCTACTCGCTTAACTTCGGGTCACCCAAAAGGCATCGTGTTAGGTAGGGATGTGAATATACATTTAAGGATCACTCCCCTGGGCGATGTGGGATGTTACATTTCTAAATATATTCATTTATTGTTAAAAATGTTACAATTAATATATTTATATTTATGACTAAATTTTTATCATATATTTTTAGTTTTAGTTTATACCCATTTTTAATTTGTAATTCTTTTTTTTTAACTTGTACCAATTTTCTTTTCAGTTTTAATTTGTATCCATATATTAATTTCTTTTTGTGCCCATATTTTTTAAAGTTTATTTGTATTTGTACCCATATATTTTTTTTATTTGTACTTTTTATTTTGCTTTACCCATGCTAATTATATGTACCCATTCATGTAAAGCTTTTTAATCTTAAAATGTACTCATTCTTAAATATACTAATTTGTTATATGTAAAATGTACCCTTTTTTTAATATAAAATCTATTCAATTTTTTTTCTAATCCATTTTTAAACTTATATGGGTACATTCTTTTTTCTTTGATTTTAAAATGTATCTATGTCAAGTTTAATCGAAGAAATTTACTAATGTTATTAATCCCACAAATTATGTTTATTTATTTATTTAAAATCTCATTTATATAAACAACTAAATTTTCTAATTTTTAATTTAAAAAATATAGTAACGTATATAGAAATAAATTATCACATTAATTTCAGGGACCTCGATCAAAAATTAAAAACCAACAAGGTTTCAATCAAAGAATATTTATAACTAAGGACCGCATCCAAAGTCTCCTTTAATCAAATTAATGCTCTGAAATCTTTTGTTAATATTTAAAAAATAATTATAAAAAAATAAGAAAACAATCAGAAGTGGCTTGTAGCTGTATTTTCATTGGTAGCCACAACAAAAATGAAACTGTGCGTTTCAACTTAAATAGCTGGCCCCCTTCTTCTTCCTCGTGAATCATTTGAATCGCCGCTTCTGCAACGCAACTCCGGCTCGCACCGGAAATGCCCATATTTCGTCTTATTTCTTCGCTATAGGCCAATAGTACTTGGGATTTTTTTTTTAAATGAAGGCCTACGCATACCGGATGATGTACAGCAGCAGAGGAACCACCGGGCGTTTGCAAGTTTTCTGACTAACTAGAGGGACGGCTACTCGCTTCTGGGCTTCTTTTCCGACGAAAAAATGGGCGACCGCCACTCCTTGCTCCTTTGTAGCTTCGCCCATGACAGTAACTGCCTTTCGCATCTTCACCATTGCATTTGAATAGCCTTGACAATAAGTAATAAAATATTAGTATTTTTTTTATTTATAATTAATATTATATTATTTACTTTGTATAAATTAATATTATATTATTATTTATATTAATACTATAATTAATATTATATCTCTCGGGCATCTCATCGTCCCATCTCCACACTCCACAAAATCCGACCCAATGCAGACGATAACGAAGCCAACGACCTGCTGTAGCTGCGGTCCCTGTCGTTGTCGTCGTCGACATGGGACGACGACGACGAGGTTGCATTCGAGGCGTGGGAGAAGATCCTAATCTTCGACGACGCTGTCGACGATGAGTCCACGGCGGTCCCACCTTTTTCGTGGAAGAAGTTGTGGTTGTTCACCAGACCAAGTTTCCTGATGAGCATAGCGTTCCAGGATCTAGGCAATTTAGAAACGGATCTCCAATCGTTGCAGAGGAGATGATGGTTGACGTCGCCCAGACGTTAGCCTTGCATCACATGACCTTCGGGCTCTTGGGCTGGCAATCGCTATCGGGCCTGGCCTGTCCCTTGGGTTCGCATACGCTGGACCTCATCCCCCAGCCTATTCGGCCCTGTTCCACAGCCTGTCCTTTGAGCAGGAGCACCTGTTGGAGCTGCTCTTATAACCCTGAGTGTCATGTTATACTCAAATATCATTTCCAACCGAAAATGCTAAATATAGCTTTCTTAATATTTTATTAATTTTAAGTTTATACTTTAAATTTAGGGAGTTTTAATAAAACCACATTTAACGAAAAACCACATTTTACCTTTCCCTGACACTATTCACCATATCTTTAAAAAGGACTTTTCATTAAAATGGAAGACTTTTCATTAGTTTTTCTTTAAATTTATTGGTTAATTTAGTTATATTAATGTTGGATATTTTCAAATCTAGCAATTGAATTTGAATCAATTATTGCAATTGAGGAACAAGATCTCAAAAAATGGGCTGAGAAGGGTACCATATTTAGCCATTCTGATGTCCTTTTGGCCAAATAGTGATCTAGTGGGCTTCATAAAATATTTTGAGAATGTACATCACAATCTTCTTCATCGAATTCATGGATGGGAAGAACAACGTTTTTTTTTTTAGGGGGGGGAGAAGTATTACTAAAAGCTGTGGCAATGGCTCTTCCGAACTATGTCATGTCTTGCTTCTTTAAACTACCTATCAAATATATGCAATGAGTTTGGACAGCTTAATGGCTAAATTTTGGTGGGGAAGGAAGGAAGGAAGTAGGATTCTTTTCCCTCTTGTTTCCCCTTCTATTTGAATGGTCACGGTTAAATCACGTCAACATCTTATATTAATTTTTTTATAGAAAGAGAAAGACTAAATAGAGAATGTGAGAGGAGATGATGGAAGGAGATGAAGAGAGGAGGAGAGAAAATCTTAATCCGGAAGGAAGAGAGGGGGCAGTTTGTGCTGGGTCTCGTGGAAAAAATGAAAACAAAAAAGAGTGGGGGTTTAGGTTTTCGGGAATTAAAGTGCTTCAATCTTGCTAGCGAAAGTGGGGGGACGTTGATAGGTACGGTGTGGGCAGCGAGGTACAATGCTGGATGGTTTCAAATGGGAGGACGACGTGCGGATTGATGGCAGTCGAGCCTCGGCATGGAAGTTGAAGCTGTATGAGATGCTTTATGTGCTCTAATATCCATGCTAAAAGGTTAAACAGACCTTGATATTTGAGAGTTGCTTCCCGAATGGTTTCCATTGAGTTTGCCTTTGCGCCCCGAGTTTGTAATAGGGCAGCTCGTTTGGTGGCTTCGTATGTTAACCACAAGTAGGCTGTCATAGATGGGGACTATTGTTTTATAACATTGTTCTAAAAATTCTCGTCTAGCGCCGTCTAGGTGGCTGGTCATTGTAGACATCGAAATTTCGGTAAATAAATGTTGACCGATAAATCAAAGTGTCAACGCTCATGTATTACATAAATTTTACACGTAGCGTGTGACTCAACGAAAATTGAAATGAGTTGGAAAAGTCATCAAACAGGACACGTGTCAACACCTGGCAAAAACGACTTATTTCATCTGAAATATTATATTCAAAATTACGCCTTGGAAATTTCTATAAATAGAAGGCTAATTCATTCATTTGAAGAAAAAGAAGAGGAACTAAAATCATTATGCAAAATTCTTGAAGCTCTGAAGCTCTGAAACTCCGAAGCTCTGAAGCTCTGAAGCTCTGAAACTCCGAAGCTCTGAAGCTCTGAAACTCTGAAGCCCTCAAGCATCTAGGTTCCCGAAGAATCAAGAAAGTGTTCTTCGTTCTTCGTTCATCGTTCTTC